ACATATTTGATATTGAATGATCATTAGTCTTGTAAATATATATTTATTTACATTAATGTATTTAGATCTTCCTTTACATATTTATACAATATATTTTAAATATGGAATATCTATAATCATTTTCGGAAAAGAAATCTTAGTAGAAGACTTTATTTATTTCCACTTTCAATTTGTTATTAATTTGAGAGTAATAAGATCATTTATCTAATCTTCAAATTAGTTTCCTTTCTTCTAATATGCCTTAAGTTGAATTGTAAAATAAAGAAAACGAAAACTTTAATTACTTAAATAATATTATCTGATAATAACAACCAGCTTTCGTACAATATATAATTTAACAGGATTATCATTAGAATAAATTGACATTTTTCATTACTCTTTCTCTAATATTATGGGATCTCATCTATTGATTCATTTTTCTTTCATTCTAATTTAACTCATCCTTTTTCCTTCTTTTTGTTTATGTATCAATATATTAATATATAAACACGGATCCATCATGTTATATGAATTTAATTATAAATAAAAATGACAGACCAAATTTAACTATAATCTTTGACATTTTAGAACTCATTTATAACAATAGTATTTTGGTAATCAGGTTCTATTAAGAAAAATTCTACAATTTTGTCTTAAGTTAATATAACAAGTGATTTAAAAAGAGTCAATAATCGAATCTAAATATAGAGACATATAATCAGCCATATATAATATTTAATTTTGTGAAATTTCTAATCACTTTTAGAGTATAAAATCAAATTAAAAATTACTAAATGGAAAATATTATAAAAGAACTTTAATCATAAATTAGGATTTAGTTGATTCCGATTAAGAAACAAATGAATTTAATGTAAATACCTCTTTAAATAGTTTATCTGATGATTTGATTTACATTATAAGATATCGATCAAATCTAGATTGATATCTAAGTTTAATTATACCTTATTTAAATCGTCCTAATCAAAATATAAGTTTTATACATAAATCAAGAATTAGGTTTATTGATTATTTAAAAATGTCAACTATTATTCGTAATATACATAAAAGTCATTCAAAAACTATTTTCCATATTATAATAAATTTAATTAACATATATATTGGTATCAAAAATCATCTAAAGGACCATCAAAAACTATTTTCTAAAGTGTCTAACGTTATTGTTATTCATACAAAAATAATCATGAATATTCTTACTTTAATCTCATCATCTATCATTCTATATTACTAATCAGCTTATTTGATATCTAAACTTGTAATTAATTAATCTTAAGGAGGAATGTATCTATTAGGAATGTCTTATTCTATTAATTTATCCTTTTGTATATAAACTATTAGTGTACCCAATCGAAATTTTCAAACCATTGATGTCCTTTAAGATTTGCAAAAGAATTACCTAATCTTACTTCTGGAATTTTTGAAAGCAACCTTTATTTATTAATTATACTTACTATTCAATTAATTTTTTAGCTTTTTTTTCTTTGAAATACTCAGGATATGAGATATCATTTTTAATTATCTATTCATAAATTTCATAAGGATCTTCTGCATCTTCACCAAAAGGTACATATCCACAGAGAAATTCATATAAGCAAATCCCTATGGACCACAAGTCAATTAAATAATTGTACCCTTTTCCACAAATAATCTCAGGTGCCATATCTAAATTGATTATAAAATTACAATAGGGAGTTCCAATTATGGTAAAAGTTCTATTATTATCGGATTTGAATGGTTTTGCTATTCCAACATCAATTAATTTTAGATAACCTCTGGAATCAACCATGAAATTTTCAGGTTTGAAATCACGATGTATGATTTTCAATTTATAGAAATATTCAGCAATTAGTATCATTGATGCAATATACAATTATGAATCATAATTGGAGAGTAACCCTAATAAATTAATTAAGAATAGATAATACCAATATCACGAATGACATCATACAATTCTTTACCATTCACATATTCAAGGAGTAAGTAAAGATCATAATCATCTTAATATGTTCTATAGAATTGAATGATAAATGGTGAATTCAATTATTATAGTACTTATTTTTCAGATTCAAAAAACCTAGATAATTAATTGAAAGAAAGTACTTCTCTAATTAATATTATTTAATATCTGATTTGTTATAAGTTTTTAAAGTGCAAAGTTGTTGATTGGATTTAGCTTTGACTAAATAGACTGGTCCAAATTAACCAACAGCTAATAGTTTAATAAATATTAAATCAGTTTTTTTAATTTATGCATTATTATTCTATTTGTTTTGATATTTCATTTTTTTATCATATTATTTTTCATTCTTTTTAATAACATCTTCAAGAGATCCTCCAATTGAATCTATAAAATTATCATTAGTCATTTCAGCAAGTACTCCATCAGTTTCCATTACAATATCATCATCCATTCTAAATATCAAAATTAAGACATACAATTTATTCTTATTAACTAATAGAAAATATTCTTCTCCCCAAATTTATCCTTTTGTTGCAATTACAATACCTGATTTGTTCTTTTTTACACAACCTTCTACAACAACAAAGATTTTTTATTAGGCTGAAGTTCCTTTTTTAAGAATAATATCACCTGCTCTATAAAGTATTAATTTAAGTTAATTGATAGTCTTTTCAATTTAGGTTTTTGTCAATTTTTAGAGTAATGCATTTTTTTCAAATGCCCATTTTAAAATATTTTTAAATGTTACTATATGAATTTAATCTCCCAATAATTTAGTTAATGCATCTCTACCAACAACTAAACAAGTAATATCATCTTCAGCTTTAACAGTCATTTATCTTATAGTATTGTAAAAGAGTGATTATTCTCCAAATGTATCACCTTTATGTAATTTTTTAATTTCTTTTCCATTTTTTGTTACTAATGCAGAACCCTTTTGTATGTATAATAAATATTACCTCTTTAATAATATAAAATGAAGATCCAGGATCACCTTCATTAATTATAACTTACTATCTATAAAACTTCATTGGTTATAGTATGGATGCAATTGCATCCTTTTATTCATTTGAAAGATCATCTAATGATATCTTAAATAATGATTTTACAGAAGAATCTAACATTTTCTAAAAACTTTCTATTATTTTCATATTCTTATAATATTTTCTCTTCAACAGCTCTTCTAAAACTAATTCTATCTATTCCAAATAGATAACAATTCTCAAAACATTTGACTGATGCTGATCTTGGTGCATTATATAATAAAGCTAATTCTCCAAAACCTTCACCTACTCTAAGTTCTCTTTTTGGCTATAAATAATTATGATTATAAATACAATATCATCAACTGTCACTCCTAAACTACCTCTATGTACTATAAAGAAACATTCAGCCTAATCTCCTTGTCTAAAAAGATATGTTCCAGATTATGCCTCACAATAAAACATCTTATTAGCTACTTAAGTTCTAATTCATTATAATAATTATTAGTATACAATTCTTCTTCATTCAAATTATAGAATATGAAATGTAATTTTAAAGATTATATAATGAATGAAGTCTCACCTAAACCTTATTTAAACTCTACAATCTTCATATTCTCAGGTAAATTCTTATTACCTATTATCTACTCATTAGAATCCTTACTTATTCATAAATAACATACATCTGCTTGTATTATTTCCTCTTCGTTTTTATTATCATCAATATCCATTAAATTTTAAATATATCAATCAAAATATCTCAAATCAAGTTGCAAATATTTACATTACAAATATCAAATTCTACTTTAATATTAATCATCTTTATAATAATTACTTCTATTCTTAGATTTGTCCATAAATAATTATATTTTATAATCAAATATTCCTCCAACAATAAGTATATTTATATATATACATATATATTAATATATCATTATTGTTCTAAGTATTATTTCAATTCCTTTTCTGTGAATAATTATTCCTCTTCAAATCTAATAACTTCCTTATTATCATGAATTAATAATAAAGTTGGAACCTCTCTTATCTTAATCCACTAAGAATTTCTAGCAGGATTATTTTAATCATACCAACTATATTTATATTATTAACTACTTACGTTTCTTTATCACCTCCCCAACACCAATAAATTTAATATCCTCTCTACTATAATTCTGGAATTGCATAATTCTTAATTATAGGTTCTGCTTCTACTGTATCTGAACACCATGATTAACCAGTTAAATCTAAAATATCTCCTACAAATATTAAAGCTGCCTTTCCTTCCTTATTCACTTTCTCACAATAATTAGATGTTGTGACTTAAATTACTTATTACATTAAAAATATGATTAGATAATAATCTATAATCTCAGCAGAGTATTTAGTCTTTGATACAATCCATCTCATCAAAAAAGGGCAATACAAACAATGTGTTGCTAAAATTAATAAACTAGTATTCGATCCTATATTGGCCCAAGGTTAACCATAATTACTATAATTGCAAATCTAATTATGTCGTCGACTCTTATATTGCTCTAATAAAATCCTTAAAAAGTAACATCTACTCATCATACTAATAGATACTTTCTAAAATTTTCAGAAAAATCTCATAAAATTCATCCGTTACTTAATCGATCGATTGAATTGTGTTTCCATTACATACAATTTTTGGAAATATATGAAAAAGAAAATGTAAAATTGGACACCTCTCCTTTAGTATCACCATCTCCAACATCTAAAAAAAAATAACTTTTTAAAGAACTTTATACAGAATAATTGAGTTTGGCTCATAAAATGGAAATGTTTTTCTCCCAAGATATTGTTAATAATTATGTTTAGAAATCAAACATTTGGTTTAAAGACCATTATCAGAATTGTTACATATAACTTATAGAAACACTCTTAAATGCATATAGATATCATAAATATAATAGAAGTCATTATCCATCTCTCTATTTACATCTCTTAACTTAATTAATGAGTTACAACAAAAAATAGAATTCAAATAACCAAAAAAATATAAAACTTTCTCTTTTAAAAGGAGAAATGTTAATACTTGTAGGCAATGCATATTTTGAATTTAGTATAAATTTATTTTAAATCTTTAAGATGATTATTAAAAAGCAGAATAAAATTATCTTTGCTCAATAGATGAAACCATAACATCAGTTAGATGTTTATTAGATGATATTGATAAGTTAAAAATAAATGTTGATTCTTAAATTGTAAAAATATCATTATCAAAATTGATAAGCCAAATTATCATAAGTTTAGATTTATAATCTTTACTTAATTTTTAGATTGAACATTATAATCGTTGCATTGAAATCAACATACTTTCACATTTGTTTAATAAGATTTTATTCTATTTTGATGCTTGCAAAGAACTTCAACAACATTTAGAAACTAAAACAATTGAAATAAAAGATAATTATAAAGATTATGTTCAGGAAACAACAGAAATATGTAAGTTGCTTTCGTTAATCTTTTAAATTCCATTAAAATAACATCAATAAAATTTTAATCTATCTATTCAAATTGAATAACTATCATAAACTGATCAATATTAACATAAATTATTTGATAAATATGAATATGGAAAAGATAACAATAATTTTTTTATAAAGAATAAAGAATTACCACCTAAACCTAAACAGTTATCTTCGTTATCAACTCTTGAAAATGCAGGATTAGCATAATAATATTTTATAAGGAATTAGACAATGAAGAATTTTAAGTTAAAACATAATAATTCTCAATGTTCTATAGAATAATCATCTACTAATTATAATGATAGTCAAATATAAAATAAAATTGATTAAAGTAGTTTGAGTTAAATTGATACATCCAACATTTCTAAAATAAAATTTGGTATGACTCCAAAGATGGCTCATAGATAAAGTTTTTTAAGTGAATTAATACATTTGAGAAATTAGGGATAAAAAACTGATAAATCTGTTATTTAGGAAACAGAAATTGAAAGAAATCATAGATAATAAAAAGAGTTATTATAAAAAATAAATAATAAAAGTATAAATTTTTATTATAATAAATAATAGATTTTTATTAACCATTAGATTAAGTTATTCATACATATATTAATGAAAATCTAACTAGTCATTAAAAGTGTTAATCACTATAAGAAGTAAAATAGAATGCAAAATTAATTTGTTAAGCTGAATCTGAAGTTCATAAAGAAGTCCCTATAACTAAAAGCTTACTTTAAGCTAGAAGAATGACATGTCCTTAAGGAGTTGTCGTTAAAGATTAAAATGCAGATAATGAATTCAATAAGTTATTAGAGTTTAATGTTATTGAGTATTTTGATTTTGTTTAGACAAATAAAGATTAAGCTGTTACAAGTTTAAAGGCTCAATAAGAAAGCTAACAAGTTAGAATTGCTTAATAAAATTTATTCTCAGAAAATTTCATTCCTAAAAAGAAATTAAATTTTATTGAAAATGAAGAAATTAAATAATTAGAATAAGCTTAAGTAATTGCATAACAAGCTGAAAATCTTCTTAAAAGAACATAAGATAAACGAAAATCTTCATAAAAACAATCTAGAATATCAATATTGTCTTTAATGTAAGATAAAGCATTTAAAAAATAAGAAACAATATAAATTCCAATTACTTAAGAATAAGCTATGGAAAAAGCTCGAAATTCAATTAAATAAGTTATCTCTCTAAATGAGAAATAAAAAGAATAATTCGAAGAGGAAGATTAATAATTAAAGGAAGTATTATATTTTAAATAAAAATTAAAGGCAGAATTACCGTACAAATTTAAAAGATCTCTTTCTGGAAAGTAAAATTAAAAGCAAGAGTTTAAAAGTATTTTGATTAAACATGAATTCGGTCATCTCTGTTAATCAACCAAAAATATAAGGGAAAAGGATTTTAGCATTCATAATAATAATAGTGAATAAAAGTTAAAAGGAATAAATTTGGAAAAAATTAAATGAATGTTATAATAGTTTTTTTATTAATATTTATTTTCAAAATGGTTGACTTAACTATTTAAGTTATCTAGAAAATTGTGAAATGTCTTATTAAGTAAAGATTTTAACCAATTTATTAGAAGAACAGTTTTAACATCCATCACATTTACAATTATCAGAACATTCAATTCCCATTTAATAGCATTCACAATATTTCTTCTTACAACCACTTTTTCTACAATTACATCCCTTATTTAGATTAAAAATATTATTTACTTTTGAATGTGCCAATTTGTAATCAACTTCTTTTACTTTTTAATTAAATGCTTCTGGATTCTTTTCAGCCACTTTCTCCATAAATAAGTTTCTCTCTATCAAATTTGAACTGTTATTAAAACAACCACAACAATTGCATTTTGATGAACATAATTTACCAGCTGCAAAACAATCACAATATAATTTTAGGCATTTACTTTTCTTGCAATTACAAGGTTTAATTTCTTCAATCCTATTATAAAAAATTAATTAATAAAATAAATTTTATTAAGTTTATATTTTGAATATGATATTTGAATTTAAAATATAATTCTTTATATCGTATTTTATTTTAAGTGATATATTACACATACTCTTATTTTTAATCTTTAGTATTGGTTTTAAATAAATTTTATGCTAAGTTATTAAAATTTCCGATTGAATTCTAAGATTGGAATTTTAAAAAGGATTTTTGTTCTGAATTGCTTACAGATATATTTTTAGTTTATGGAGTTCTATTAGAATCATTATAAAACTCATACTAAAAGTTACTCTTGTTATGTGTTTATGGAAATGTTATCTCATTGCTTTAGAATATTTTTTTAAATGGTGGAGTAGATAAATTTAAGTTCTTATTTGTTTCTTAAGACTCAGTGAAGATGGTATCACAGTTTCTATAGGACATTGACAAACGTGTTTAAATTTTAAAAATTAAAATCAAATATTAGAAGCATTAATTATATAAATACATGAGTTAATATTGAGATTCATTCTATTTATTTTTATAATTTAAGAATCTTTTCATATAGTTAGTTGTGTTTTAAATCAACCAATTTTGCTTGCTCTCTCTAAATATTCGATATAGATTCAATTCTACCAAATTTATTCTCAAATTTATCTAATTTATCTATACTCTCATATTTTTATGGTATATAACAAGAAAATAATTTGTCATGATTCATCTAATTATTATTATATTAAAATTCTTACTACTTTAGTTTTTATTTTAGATAATGCAGTTTTAAAATCAAATCCCTTTTCATAAATTTGGTTTTTATTGCCATCCTACTAAATTTTCTAGGACAAAGCATCCTATACTTTTATACAAAAACAATAAAGTTATTTCACATAATCATATTCAATGACTAAATTAAAAAATGATTAAGCTTCATATAACAATAATTCATATGGTTAATCAAAATTCTGTACAAAGAGGTTTTAAATATATTAGATGTCATTGAAATTTTTAATAAGAAATTACTTTTCAATAAAATTTTACAAATCTTAACATTCTATAGATTATCTTTATGAAAATCTAATTGTTTGATTAGTAAATGTATCTATTAATTCAGAATGATTATACAAGATATAGAATACTTAATATTAAAATGTCAATTGTCTAAATTTTTAACATTCTAAATCTTCAAAAATCAATTTATCTAAACTTGATGGAATACAAGGCTTTAATGTTTTGAGTAAATATTTAGTTCCTTTAAACATTTATCCCAATCCCTAATATATATTAATTACAAAGTGTTTACTTCAATGTTTAATGGTAAATTAGTTAAATTATAAGTGAAATTCATAAATCCAACAAATTTCTATTGATTATCCAAAAAATTTTCAAGTTTGTTTTTTCCTTTCCAAATTTGATGTGTATATTCAAATGCCAGTATCAATTTGTAAATTTGTTACTTTAATTCAACTTATCTAATATTTATAAAAACAATACTTTTTATCTTTTATTTCTCTTTAGCTTTCTCTACGAAAAGAGGATTAACTTGGAAGTTTTTGTTTTTCATTAGAAAGTTCAGTTTATTATGATTTTTAATGAGTATGGATTACAATTTATGATTTACCAAGTCTAGCTCTAATTAATTTATCAATTCTCTGAGGTTTTTAATCTTTTTAAAGTAGAGATTAAATAAATTATTATTCATTATCAAAACTATTTAGATGAGATTTCATTTTATTGCTAAATGATTATGTCTTTTCATAGGATTCTCTTATCTTTTTAAATGGTGTTTTAATAATTTTTATTTTAGTTTGAGAAGATAATAAACCTTCAGAGATATCTTAATTACGAAGTTCTCTCTAAATAATCATTGTTTTTTTCTTATCAATTCGTTCTTATCCAATATAACTCTAGTGATATTCTGTAATATTTTTAAGAGCATTTAATTGTGATTTGGAAAAGGGAGAATCAGAATTTTTAATTTTTGATTATATGATTCCTCTATTTTCACTTTTTGATCTAGCTATACTTGTTAATGAAGTTGGTAATTAATAATCTCTAGTCTTTTCAATTATGTCTTCACCATAATAAAATTAGGATGTATTCATAATAATAAATATATATATGAATGATATAGAGAATATTTTGATTTGGATCAATACAAATTATAAATTATAAATATCATGTTATAATGTCTTCAAATATCATAGTTCCTTAATCATAATACTTAATTTTTCTAAATGTTATAGTTATTATTATTTACTAAATAGTTTTATCATTGCATTTAATTTCACAATCAAATTATCCACATTTCAATCCATTAATATATTCACCTATTTCTACTGTTACTTCAATAGTTTATTTCATATTCTCAACAAACTTTTTAGTAATTGTTTCTTTGCATTTTCCAGAAGGTTCATTATTAAAGAAATTACCTTCAATTCTTGAAAACACTAAGATAATATAAAATACTTTCTATTATCTTAAAAAGTTAATGTTCCTACACCATTTTTCAATCCTCTCTTAAATTAACCAACATATTTAGTTTTATTTTCAAGATCTTCTAATGTACCTTCCCCATCAATTTCATTATTTTTAAATTCACCATAATATCTAATTAAATACTATATATATACTTTTTAGTTAAACCATTTAATTATCCTTAACCATTTAATTTTCCATTCTCAAATTTCCCCGTAATCCTTATCTTATTATTATAATTAATTACTATCCAAATTCTTCATTGCAAAGTTCACCATCTCCATAACATTTTCCATCCTTCCAATATCCTTTATATCTATTAGACATAATTAGAAATTATTACTAATCACCATTCTTATACTTAAATTAACCATATCCATCAAATACTCCTTCTTTAAATTCACCTTCATATCTATTCTCAATATATTTTTATTACCTTTCACAATCAGAATTCATATATATTCCATAATTTAAAATCCTATAACAAAATAGATCTAAAAACTCAAACTCCCCTTATAATACTTCCTTACTCTTTAAATTCAATGCTATTCCTTAACAAAATAATCCCTTTATAAAAGTTCCATAATATGCCATTCCTTTATTCTCTACAAATAGTAATCCATTCCCATTAAATTCATCATTTTCTATTTATCCAATATAACAAATATTTCCCTCAATATTATCTTTAAGAACATATTAAGAATTATTGCTTTCATCCTAACAATATTGTTTCGGTGTTTATATTAATTCTATTTACTTTATAAATTCATAAGGTAAATCATATTTTTTAATTAGAGTTTCCAAATGACTCTTAAATATAGATTCAGATAAAAACTCAACTTACTCATTCAAATCCATTCTCATCATACTTAATTTGTGTATATACTAATTAGTTTACATTGAAAATTAATCAAATTTCTAACTCACAATTTATTTTGATACAATTTCTAAGTATTAATAATGATCTGGATTAGGAGATTCTAAAAATTTAGTACTTAAATTATTTACGAATTGAATCATCTTACTTAAATCTTCATATAAATTATTCATCTAATATTCTAATCCAACCAAATAGAATTCCAATAATTCTTTTATTTTCTATAACAAAGTGTCAAACTCAAGTTTCATCTACTCTATTCTTTCATTTTCTGTTTATTCAATTATTATTTATTTCGCTTATTATACACATTCCTAAAATTGTTAAATTGATTAGTATTTTGACTACTACTTATTTTCTTTGTAACATTTTTCACAAGCCCATTGAATAGGTTTTTATTGTACACATATATATTCTATAAGTTTTTTATCATGTCCAATCTTATTACATCTTTAATTCATAATAGAAAATTAATAGTATTTTTATAATAAATTAATTGATTTAAAATAACTCAAATTATTAATTTAATCTACTTGATTATATTCTTATTGATCATTACTTTCATTGGAATAAATCTTAATGAAAATCTTATTGAAAAATAATTACTCATTATTTACTAGATCAATAATCCATTTATACTAAACAATAATAATGATATAAAAATGCCTAAACTAAATAATAAGAATATGATAATTTCAGTTTAAGAAGTCAATTCATCTTTGGCTATTTCAATAAAATAATCAGAAAATAATCTCAATTAAAAATTTGTTGCATCCAAACCCCAAAATATATACATAAAATATTCTCTAGAATAAAGTGCATCCAAAAAATTATTCAGAAATTCTAATTTTGTCTCATTTTCATTATTAAATCCCAAATTTTATGTAGCAGAAAATGTTTATTAATACAATTAGATTAATCCAACATCAAAAAACTTACTCAAATCATCAACAAGAAATCTCTCCTTAAATAATTCATTTTCTACATTACAACCCTTAATTAAACAAATATCTTCTAACAATAAAGAAGTTCTCTCATTATCTGGCAAATCTATTGTTATTATTGTGAATGGTTCTTAAATCAAATCAAAGTAAGATTGTATTATCTCACTTTGATTTAATTCTAATAATTACAGAATTTTATTATTGCCTCTAATATTACCATTGATATTTCCAGTATTTTTATTCACTTCTATATAATTATTGTAGAAAGTCTTAAAATTATAACAATCCCAATTATTTATAAATTTTATGAAATGTAATCTTACTTATATTCCTGATAATGCTTTATTTACTATTGGGTTTATCTAATTTGAATAGCTATTGTATTGAATTTAAAATATTACAAAATATATTATTAACAAAATAAATACTATTGTTTACATTATGTAATACATTGGCAAATTGAATTGATCATCCAATTTTATATTTTAAGATACTTAACCTTAACTTTTTTGTAAATCTTAACTCATTTCATAAAAACTCTAAAAGAATTTACTGTTAAACCAAAATTCTTCGTTTTTCACATTCTAACCAACAAATTCTAATCTTTACAATTCCTCTTCTATATCACGATTATCTAATCTCTAAAAAATTTGTAAAATCTATTTAATTTTATATATTATCCTTGCAAGAGTCATTATTAAAATAAAATAAAATACCAGAATTCCAATATAAAAGATATAGAAAATAATCTATACTTAATTATCAAATGAATTATTATATTCCTGACTATTTTAAAGACAAACTTCTATAAATTCTTAGGTTATCTCACAAACATCATTAAAATTCAAAAATAAAATAGATCTAGTATTTATTTATGCAAAGGTATCAAGAGTACCTTTTAAATAAAGAGAAGGATCACCAGCAAAGGTTTTAATTGCCAAATAAAATAATTAGTTCATTATTTCATAATAGGCTGCCTATGTTTATACCACCTATTATTTCACTGTATAAACATGATAATCTACAAATTTAAAGTTTATTAGCTTCTCTTCTTAATAACTATTTAAGACAGTCTTATATTTTTCATATAAATTTATTAGATTCTAACAATTTTCTTTGTAAAGCCATAGGGTAAATTCAATTTTATCACTTGTTGTTATTTAAACCTAACTATCTTGATCAATATCAATAGTTTAGTTATAAGGAATAAAATTATTAAAATCTCTATAAAACACTGTATGTCTGCTACCTTTCAAAATTAAACCATAATAATCTAAAAATTCTGTCCCATAAAATAATCTATTAAAGCAAACATCCTAATAATTTCTTTTTTACAATAATAATATATAAATAAGAACCAATCCAACTATAGAAATACACATATTGACTAAAGAAAGAGCTATAAATTATTTCATTTCTGTTGGAAGTGCTCTCTAAGATAGATAAACTAATAAATCATCTGATGATTTAACAATAGTTGCTGTGCTCTATCTAGAATGTATTGATCTCACAATATTATCATTTAAATGTTATTTGCTTTTAGTTTTTCTAAATTTAATAAACAAATATTTACTTATTGATATACTCTTTCTTATTGTATTCATGATCATCATGTTTCGTTGACTTTTATTCACTTTCAAATTAAGATAAATCTATAACAATTCTATAATAAATATAGTATTCAGGACCATCTTCAGTTTCATAATAAATATTTTACAGAGAAATCTCATAATCAATTTATGAAATTTTATCTACAGAAATAGAATTATAAGAAGAATAATTAAATTATTCTAATTTTTATAATTATTAAGAATGATTCAAATTTTTACATACACTACATGCCTTACTATTTAAGTATCGATTAAATCTACTTATAATTTAAATTAATTGATTTTAAAAGTAAAGAGGTTTTAAATTATTTTCTGAACTATGAAATTAAATTAAATTTTCTCTTAATTAGGGTATCATTTAAAATACGTTAATTTATTTTAGTTACAATTAATACTGATTTATAAGTTATTTAAATCTGTTATCTGAACACATCAGATTAAAATTATAATCCAACAATATGATGGTATTATTTTTCTATTTAATTTTGTACAGATAAGTAATTAATTAATATTTATTTAAATTTTATTTAGGAAAATAGGGAAATAGAATCATTTTTACAGGAATAATTGTATTGATATCTGTACTAATCATAGTGTCTATTTAAGTACCAATAATTTTTGATTTTCCTTTTTATAAATATTAATCGATTAACTTTAGATGAGATATTCTAAAAGAAACATGCAATATTTGAGAAATGGATTTTAAAACAAAGTTTTCATCTAATTCTAAAAATTATAATTATTTAGGAGTTATCTTAGATGTTATTTCACCTGGATCCATCTCATTTAATGAAGCAATCAAACTAATTGCAAAATTAGAAGCAAAGGCAATATTTGTAAATTCATCTTCTTTATATATTTCATTCTAAATTATTTCATTTATTCTCTTCTAATTATCTATTTACTCTCTAAGATTTTGAGTCAAAAAAGATATCAAATGACATATACGTAATGCAAATATATTGTTCAATTTTTTATTATCATAAATTTATAAATCTTTGCTCTTATTTATTAAATTTTAAATTTTATCCTTTAATTTATATAAAGAATTGTAAAGTTTCTAAAAGTTCTAAATACTCATTAACTTTAATGATTCATAAAATTTGTATTTCTCTATAAGTACTTTCTATAATTCTTATTAAAGAATCAATCCTTCATATTTCAATAATCTCATCTCTTCAATAAATTGTCCTTTTTACTTCTATCGTATTTTCTCTTTCAATATCTCCTGCAAAACTTATTCTAAATAATTAAAGATTTCTAGTATATATCCATTTTAAACATTCTTCTTCTAATTCAATATAGTTTAATGAGCTTATATTGTATTATTCGTAATGTCTATCGAAATCAAAATATACTAAAGCATATACTCTTCAGAAAATTTCTTAGATAACAAACTTTTGTAATATAGATTTATAATTATGCTAATCTCTTTATCTGATATCTATCTAACATCCTATTTACATGGACATCTCAAATGTAAACAATTTATTTGATGTTATCTATGCATGTGTAAATATTACACAACATTATTATCATTTAATCTTTAATTAAGATAACTCTAATAATATTATTAGTAAAAAGAAACTGATTAATGATTTTAATATAGCACAAAATTCACTTTTTAATTAATCATTGTCTAAAAGGATGTAGTAAACTAAATTATCAAAGTAATATTACTGTAAGAATTAGCATAAAATCATATATCATTTAATTTTGTCCCTTTAATTCAGAATATAAATTTGCAACAATCAAACACATTATTATTGAATATACTCTTATTTCTTAAAAGTATAATTCAGAAGGGTTTATTATTATTTCTCCATATAACCATACTATCAAATAGCAAAAGTACACTAACATAAGATATTGCAAATAATAATTTATATCAAACAGTTAAGAAAATAAAATGATCTATTAAAATATTAAAATGTTTAACAACCCTAATTTTGAAAATTATTTATTTAAGCTCAATGATCTAAAGTGTATTTTCTAAAAATAAAAAATTTACGTTATTCCAAACAAGAATATTGTGATTGTATTCACAACACATATTGCTAATCGTTCATCTTTATTCATATTCAATGAAAGGTTTGCTGATATAATTTAAAAAGGAATTAAAAATAAACGATCATAATTGCTTAACAATAAGCGAAAGAACAAGGCAATATTTGAATTCAACTTAAAAATAAAGGTAAACAATAACATTATCGTAAATAAGGTTGTGTTGCATATTATTACAAAATAAGGGCTTAACTAAGTTAAAATTGAATTATAGATAAAAATGAGGAGAGGTATTTCTAAATTGCAAATCTAAGATGTTATTATGAATAGCTCAATTAAGTAAATTGGAATGATAAAGCATTGAATTACAAATAATTCAGTTGATTAACTTTGAGAGTCATAACATAATATTGATGCCATAAATCCTCGGTATTTTCTAATGAATTTTTCACTCATTTCACTAATATTCATAATTTTAATAATTTATTCATGTATTTTTGTTGTTCAAATATTCATTTTTAAAATAGATATTTTTATACTTTTTAATAAGCTTTTCATTCTTTTACTACAATTTATAAAACAAATTTATACCTTTATCAATTATTGTTAATTCTGAAAAACATAATTAATCAAATGCAATTTGTTTTATGGTTTTGCGAATCTGAAGCTAATATATAATAAAATGAAAAATTGCTAATAAATATACAAGAGTTTTCCTATTTAAGTTTAATTCAATAAAACAATAATTGATTAGGGATTATTTATGATATTTATTAATTTTCTTTAAAAACATTCTTTGATTAAGTTATTAACATGACTTTAAGTCTCATTCTAAATCAGAAGGAAATTTTTCAAAGTGTAAGTTTTAGAATAAAAAGCATTGATTTTCCTTGCAAGATTATAAATTCTTAACTTTAATATCAAGTATAATAAAATTTATTGAAAAATAATCTTTAAAAGATTTTATTTTTTACAAATGGTAAAGAAAAAATCTTTTTTTAGTACAGCGAAAGAATCTATATATATTCTCATATTTCATTATCATGTTATCAAATTAAAATATTTCCTTGATAATTTTTAGCAAACTTTAATATATAAATTAAAACATTAATGGATTTATAATCGAATAAATGTGTTTAAATTGGTATAAACATTTTATAATTAACATATTTGAGATAAATATTTTAAAATTTCTAATAATTTATTAAATGTTTGTTTTAGCTTCGTAAAGTCTAAGATTATTTATAAAATTAATAAAAATTTGAATACTTGATAATTTATTATTTAGTATGAAATTAAAAATATAAAATATCATAAATAATTGTTTGAAAAATCAATATGAATATTTTATTTAAGTTTAATGATAATTCTTTGAATTCAGTAAGTATGATATAAATTTGATAATTTATACACCAATGTAAAAGGAATAACATAAAACTTAAAAATTTATTTTAAGAAAAAAATCGACAACTCTAAGAACACACTTTGAGTGATACTGCTTGTTTTATTTATAATTAATCTTACTTTTTCAATCATAATTTAATAATTATTCTTTAATTATGAAAGGAAGCAAACTTCAAAGAATATCTAATAGAATCAAAAAGAAAACAATTTAAGCTCTACTTTACATTTCTGAAGATGAATTTTATATAACTAAAGGCTCATTTTTTAATTGTCTAAAGATTGTAGTGTATTTTTTATAGTTAGAGGGATATATTTTTAGTTAATATGAATCAAAACCCTTAACATTAAAAGAAAATATATACTTTTCAAATTATACTCAATTGTCTGCTTTTACTTTTATTCTTTTTTAAATAGGGAATGATTTCTTAACCTAGTTATTTTTTTACTTAATATTCCTTTTGCATTTAATTGTATACTTTTTGTTAGCATTATTATCATTAGATAAATAGATTGAGAAAACAGGAATAACAAAAAAGTTGTTAAATTTATTTTTTACTAATTATCAATGGATTTTCATAACACCATTTTAAGAAATAAGTGTTGGTGTAATGGTTTGTGGTGATAATGCCTTTATAAAAGAAAATTAATATTCTTCAGACTGTTAATTAACAAAAAATCAATTCTTATATGTATTTGGAACAATATCAACGATATTTGTATTCATATCTGGTGTTTCAATTTCTTATTTTTTTAGAAACTATTAATTCAATGATCGTACATTTTCAAGATAATTTAATTACGTAACTATTTTACGGATATTACTTCATTAAATTGTAATAATATTGTATTACATAAATTTTAATAATATCAATTATACTAAGCACGCAGTTTCATAATTTATTGGATTAACCTTAATTTTAGACATCGTATTTAATTAACCATTTGGATATTCTTTTGATTCTAAGTTTTATAGTGCAGCTACTCTTAATCATCAATTTTTACTGATATTATCCACAATTTGGATTTTTTAAACCAAAAAAAATGATGAGTTTATATTTTTAACATTCATTCTTTTTATTCCTGTAATAAATTCATACTATTATCTAGATTAATACTTTTGTATCAAATCAATATTTAAGATTGAAATAATTGGATATATATAATTCTTTTAATCCAAATTAATTTTAAAATAGATTTGATAAGTAATTAGAAGAAATATATCGAGTAGCAGAATCTAGTGAATACAATGTATAATCAAAATTATTGTTGTATTAAATTTATAAGCATCATACATCTATTTGTAAAGATATTGAATGTCAATGTATGCAAGATGTTAAATCTTTTTTTATTAATAATACATGTGATTATCATAAATTGAATTAATGGTCAACTAATTTATTCCAAAAGTAATTAAATTATGCACTTATTCATAAGAATTTTCAATTCTATGAACATCTTGCATTAAAGTTTGTAACATTTCTGGCTAAATATTAAAACAATCCTATAAACGCTTATTCTATATTGCAAAGAATCATGAATAGTTAATAATCTTAAACTTAGTTATAAAAAAATGGAAATTCAGCTCAAGTTTCATTTTATTTCAAAAATATTTCTAAGATTTTGTTAAGACGAAACCGAAATCAATTTATGAATTAATAGTTACATGAAACTAAAAAAATTGAATTATTATTATAAGGTTAAGCCTAAATAGAAAACTTTGGTACTTAAATATAAGAAGAGTTGTTAAGATTAGTTATTGAAAAATAAAAGTTTTGGGAAGATTATATGAATAACAAAATAGTATCATTATAGAGTTTAGATTTTGCTTTAAAGAAAGTGTAATCCAGAATATCAAGAGTGACTTACTTTATAATGTAATTAAGAAATAAAATTAAATATTTTACTACTTAAAAATATGATTGTATCAGTATTTTAAACTTTGAATTATTATATAAAATATGTACAACAAATAACAATTAAGAAATTTATGAAATTTAATAAAAAATCAAAAAAATATTAGTTGCTGATTAATATGAAGAAGATCATTACTTAAATGTCCATTTTTAAACCAAAGAATGTATATCAGTTATAGCCAATATTTCATAAAGCAAAAGAGGAGAACTATGGAAACCTAATCAACAGATCTTAAAGAAGTTCTTTAATAAAACTATAGAGATTAAACATCTAAATGATATATTACCAAGTTTCATAGCAGATATACATAATGGAATAATAGAAAATTATATTAGAAATGGTAAAAGTGTAAAAAAGGAATTAGTATCATAAGTAATTTCTTGTTTTGGAGAAGATTACATAGAACCAATCATATTTACACTTAGATTCTTTTTTCCAAAATTTGATTCTGAGAATGATTTTTATATGATAGGATTTCTTAGGAAAGAAGAAATGGTAGATTAAAGTAATTAAAATGAAAAAAAATAATTTGGTTATATTTGCTTTGATGAAAATTTAAACATATTAGGAATTAATTCAGTAATTGGTGAGAAACTAAATCATAAAGTTTCAAATTCTAATAATTATAATGGATTAGATATTTGTTTTATGTTACCAACTATTTTATCATCATTAATTGATTAATACAAATAAATTTTGAATGGAAAGATTGATACTTTAATTGATAATGAAATGATTGTTTCAAAAAATTAGGAAACATTTTATGTTCCAAATGAATTCTCAAAAAATTATCAAATTAATCCTAATTGTAATTTAGTAGATAAAATTATTAAATTTGAAGAAATCTATGCTGATATCTAAGAAGAATAATGTCAATTCTTAAGTAACCATTAAGTAAATTATCAATTATTTTCTAAAAGATTAAAATACTAAGCTGATCTTACCAATTCTATTCTTCACAGAGAATTCTTTTTAGTAAAATTATAATTTTTAGAGAATTTTATATCGAATGAAAATAATATCAAAATATATTAAGAGAATAGAAGTTAGCATTCAGAACTAAATATCAATAATTTTGATGGAATTGTAGAAATTATATCTAGTAAAACAAAATCAAGTACAAGATCAGTGCTTTAATAAATATAAATATTTCACACTACTTTATCAAAATAATCTTAAAGCAAACATTAAAAATTATTCAAGATAATAAATATGGTATTCTTAATTTTTTTTATTTTAATTTCAATAGTAATAAGTTTTGCTTTTAAGGATAAAAACAATTATTTTAAAAGTTGTAAGATTGAATAAACACATATATTAAATGAAGTAGCCATTTTTTCTAGTTTGATTAATAGTATAAATAATGAGGGATTAATTGAAATGATAGAACCAAATGTTTAGATTGACATTGATAATGTAACCCTTAATATATCTTATTTTGAATACAGATAAATTTTATCAGAATTGATATAATATTCATCATATCATTACTTTTAAGTGCTTAAAGAAGCTGAATTCATATTGGATTTACCTTAAAAGTTCTCTTTGAAATTTTTAGTAGAATTTGGTTAAGTATTTGATTAAGAGGAAATTGTAAATTTTTAGACCTTAAGATAAATATTATCATAAAAAATTGACAGTTATAATTTAAATAGAAGAAAGTAAGATTTAAGTGCAATAATCTTAAATTATTTTAGTTATGTAGAGTACTTGTAATAATCTACAAAAATTTGCTTTGAAGATTCTAAATTATTGGTGAGTTCATCAATTTAATTGGCATAGAAAATTTTAATATTTATGTATGTTTTATTAATTTTAATTTATTTGCTACAGATTTTTGTTGTAAATAGAATGCTTAAGAAAAGGAAATATATTTTAAAGTTATTCATTAGAACAGATTATAAAGAGGCTTTATTAGAGAATGAGAAATTTTAAATACTTTCAAGTTGGTTAAGTGAGACAAAAAATGGTTGGAGTTAGAAATATATGTAAAGATTGTTGAATTAGTTAAATTTAAGTTTAAAATATTTAAAAGATGATGAAGATATAGTAAATGCATTTACATCCTCAGATAGAAGATAAACAGAAAAAGGTGAAAAGTTACTTGTTAATAATGAGAAGTTAAAAATAAATTTTTCACATAGATACTTTAATATTAGTGGTTACATATCTTTAACAATAATATTTTTATTTACTTTAATTTACATTATATCATTTCATATTTAAATAAGTGAAATATGGGATGATCTATTGTATTATTCATAATTTAGTTTATTGTTATAAAATTATTAAATAAATTACTTAGTGTTATATTTTCAATGTTAATATTAATTGAATTATGAGTATTATAACAATATTGAGAATAAGATTTTAATAAAAATATATGAATAAAATGATATTTCAAGAGAAGATGTTGAGGATGCTTAGATAAATTTGAATAAGAATGTATTTAGTTCTATATTAATAAATAATGATGAGAGTAAGTTGGATAGAATATTGAATTTAAGTGAAGAATAAAAAGCATAATTTTATGAAGGGAAGATATGTTAAATTGATGAAAGTATTTGTAATTAAAGTGAAAGAAATGTTTTATTAAGTGAATAGTTATAGAGTTATTATGATACTAGTGTGAATTAATTGTTTTTATAATAAGGATAAATATTCTACGAAAATAATATTAATAATGAGATATATAATATTAAAATATTGATTAAGAATATGTTAGAGTCAAAGGAATATTTTATGAATAATGTTTGGGGTTTTGATATCATAATTGATAGAGTGAGTAAGACAGTGATTCATTTTTTAGAAAGAATGAATTAAAATTTAAGAATGAATGAGAATAGAATGTTTTTATATGCTTTGATTATTGGAGTATTATATTTTTGTTTATTGGTAATGTTTATAATGTTATTTGGATGGTATTTTAGTAGAGAAGATCAAAAGAGGAAATAATGTTTATTATAAATGCCATTTTGGACAATATTGAAAAAGAATATATTTAGTTGTTTAAAATAGATTGATTGATTATAATAATATTTATTTGAAACTAATGAATTAAAGATAAGAATATATATTTATAAAAATATATGTTACAATCAACAAAAATAATTAAATAATAAGTAGTACCTATTTCAATTATATATAATTCAATAGTGTTTTAGTGAGAAAGATGGATATCTTTTTTTTTATTTTTTTGAAAATAAATCTCATTTTAGAATGATCATACTCATATATTTAAAATATAAGATATATATATTATTAAAATATATTATCAAACCAATATTGCTAAATTCTTATGATTATAATTTATGAATTTAATTGTTTACTGTCTTTTTCTTCTATGATTTGTATAATCACTATAACTTTAATTCCATTCAATTATATCAATAAATCCATTCCAAGCTATCATTTAGAAATTTAATAGATTCTTGATTAACAATTTGACTCTTAGTAATAATTGTATCACCAATGATCAATTTATTAGTGTGATAGATAAAATCTTTAATATCTCCATAAGATGGATTCAAAACTATATGTATGAATTTTACTTATAGGTGACAATCTGATCTACTTTCACTTTGTATAATAATAAAAAATAATAAATTATTTTGAATATGTAAAAAGATTATTACGAGAGTGACAATATTCATGTCATGCCAGATGAATATAATGAAAGTATTACACCTAAAGAGAAAGTCACTCTCAAAGACTAAATAGAATTTCTTTAATAATAAACAACTCTTCTTCAGTAATCTATGGAATTAGAATAAGAATTATAAGTTGATAATCCTATTGCTTATTTGAATGCAATTGAGAATAACTTAGAATCTCTGAAAGTTACTAATTTATAATAGAGAATTCAATGTTTGGCAATATTAGGGTCTGGAGCTGAAAAATGTGTCACTTTAAAATGTGTCTTACCACAATCTGATAATTTAAAGCGATTTCAAACTTTAGAAAAATAAGTTCATCTCCTAGAAACTATTGTTGGATAGAAACCCTATCAATATAATTCAACCATTATGCAAGACTTAATCGATGTCTAGTAAATTATCAACTCTATCCAAGGAGGAGAAAATAAAGATATTAAATTAGGATTTACATAAAATCTACCTTAAATTGATAAAATTAATGAAATCTTTAGGTAAGTCTAATTACTTATTGGAATTGCTGATTTATTACCTAATATTCTAAAGAGATTAGAACAATTAAAAAATGCTCATGATCAAAGTATTCAATATTAAAATTAACTTAAAGTACATCTATTTTATCACATTTTTAGGAATTATAAATTAAACATACCAAAGTTCTGGATTTGATATCTTCTAATAGAGCAAGAATTAAAATTTTATGTGCTAAACTTGCTCAAAAATGAAATACATATATAAAATTTATTTGAGAATTATATAATATAATATTTCATTACAATTTCTATAGATAATAATTGTTTAGACTTTACTCTTTAACTTAATTACCTAAATCAAGTGTTATCGATTTATTTTTTCTATATGTTACAAAATTATCATAGCTATACTTCATTGGCAATGGTGATTATTATCTTTCACTAACATAATTTTTGTTAATTCTCTAATGAAATTAGGTCTTCCTAAATTGTTGATGTTAAAAGTCTTCATAATCCAAAAGTGATGTTCTGTTTGATAGATTCCCAGACATTCCAATCATAGGATAGAATGTAACCATATCATAGAGATCATTGCTGTTATCAATAAATTAATCTAAATTTACACTTATTTATTTTTAACCCTTTTTCATAGTAATTTCTTAGAATCTTATTGGTCTCTATATTATCTCTTTATTTTATGATAATTTTTCTAATAATTTTTTTTTGAACTCTTTTATATCAGGATAGAAATTGTGATGACAATTATTGATAATTCGGATAGGTTTTATGATACGATTTGATGTAAATTTAATTTAATAAAGTAATTTAAATTGTAACATGTTAATTAAAGTTACAATAATTAATTTATCAGTCAATATCAAATCTTTGAGCAACAAAGTATATAGATTGTCAGCTTCATTAACTGAGATATGAAATTCTTGAGGATTTCGAATAGAAACTTAAAGATGTTACTATGATTAAATAAAGATGCTTCTTAATTCTTAGATTTCTAATTTTCGTACATATTTAAGTATTGTTACTGAAGGCTAAGAAGTTTACTTGGGAGTCTTATTGAATTAATTAATAGTAAACATACTAAGTTATCCTGAAAATAATTGGATGGCTTAAATATATCCCATTTAAGTAGCAATATGCATAATGGAATCTTTAGATGATGCCATTCTTTTGGTATAATCAAATTAATTAGAAGGACAATTGGTAAAACTCTTTTTAGAATTTAAGAACTTACTCTTAAAGATGGTATTAACAATATTTCATGTATTGGTGCAATTCCTAAAGAATTCTTGAGGTTAGGATTTTAATGTTTTAACAATAATTAAACAATGTTCATTTGATTAATGTAATCAGATTCATTCCTACATTATCTTCTTAATATGAAATGTAAAGGTGTATCTCCATTTACACCTTTTAATGGAACAAATAGAATCTGACTTATGTGTTTCATTTAATCATCCCAAAAAGCCACAATTCCACGATCAAGCATATGTTCAATTACTTCGTATTCTAAATGATGACATGCCCAAAGAAATACAAATCTAATTAATAGATGAGTTGGATCCAAGTATGACAATAAGGTCTTGTAAATCCTGTATATATTCACTTTTACCTTATATTTAACTTTGCTGCTAGAATTAAAGGTTATGGATGTTACAATTTTGTTAAACATTCCAAATGATTTTCACATATTGATGGTATGATACTTACTTCATCATATTGAATTGCCTTAATTATTATTGTATTTGTAAAACTAGAAAATATGTTAACAAATTCATTAAAATTCATCTATTTGTGCATTCTCAATTATTCTCCTATTGGTGATGTTAACAAATTAAATTATTAAGCACTCATATCAATTAAAGTGAACCAACTTAAACATAATTTCTCTACACTCTAGACATGCTAATACACTTCAAATGAATTATATTAAATATCTAAATTACTTAGATTTAGATTTGAAAAATCTGTCGATTACAATTTGTTATCTGAAATCTCTAAAGTATGTAGGTTTGGTAATTGTACATTAGGAAATTCTACTATTTAATTATGATTTAGAATCAAAATCTCTAAATTCTTCATCTATATAATCTAATCTGGAATCTAACTAATTAGATTATAACTCAAATTAAGATATTGCACATCACTTAAAATTGGAAATTCAAACAAATTATGAGATTATAAATTCTTTTCCTTTCGAGATGTTATATTCATTATTTATTTGATTAATCGTTTATTATTGAAATCAATTTTCCTAAAAATTAAATAGAAAATCAAAAATCTTATTTTTTTATCTAATTTATTGACTATTGGATTCATTTTCATAGCTAATTGCCATATAAAGTAATCAAAAGATAATTGAGCTAAATCAAAATTCCACCTTAAAAAACAGACTGGTTTTATGATAAAAATTTTAAATCTCATTCAATTTATATCAATTCTAATCATATTAAAATAATATGTCATATCTATATTACCATAATTTGATATTTCATAATTCAAAAAGCCTATTTTATTAAAATCAACTCACAGTTATGGCTGATGAATAATACATTTAATATTTTTTTTTAAAATAAAATAAATAATATCATAATGTTATAAAATAGGATATGAAATATTTTGAAATGGGATGAATTTAATAATGTATTTGATTATAATAATAAATAATGTTCATTAAATTTAAGAATTCATAGCTATTATATACATAACTCCTTAAAAAATATTATTCCCTTATGTTATTCTGATAATAAATATACTTTTGTATTAAAATACTTACTTTTATAATATTTTGCATATTCATCTATATTCATCTGCTGTTTTCACTCCCACAAATTACTTACCATATTGAATCAATTTTACACTATAAAATACTTCAAGAACAAAAATATTACCTTACATTACTGACGTACTATCATAATTTGAATCTTAAAATTATTACAAAGATTAAAGTAATGAGAATTTACATCATTATAGTCAATTATAGATTTTATTCTTTTTAAATATATTGTTAACATGTTAGAATTTAGATAATTTTTAATGAATTTGTAAAGGTTAGTCTAAAATTAAATCCCATTTTCTTTCAGTTATTGATGTGTTTATTAAATAGAGGGAATCTTATTTATTTATATTAATCAAATATAGGGAATCTTATTTATTTATATTAATCAAATAAATTAACTATTTATTAAATATGTCCAATATATTATAAAGAATGGTCACTAAAGAAGTAAAAAGAAGATAAGTTGAAACTCGTCTATTAAATAAATCCTAACAAACTTTGAGATAACTCATACCTGATTTAAAATCTCCTCTTAAAACACCTTAAGTCTCAACTGCTCTTGAGTAATTTAAAAGTAAATTCACAGAAGGCAAGTATATTTTTTAAATTGAATAACAACGTAAAAGTTAATTAGATGAAGTATTTTAAAGAGTACAATTACCAATTAAAAGAGACTTCTTAGATGTATTATTGTAATAATTTGAAACTGAATTATGGAGAGTTTGTAATGAATAGAATCTCTAATATTTAAGTGATCGTTACTTAAGTTATCAATTATCTAATAATAAATTTCTAAAACATCTTGTATAATTTGTTGATGAGTAGAAAGATAAAGCAGAACTTGCTTTAGGATAATTAGCAGGAAAAGATGCTACCATTCTTGAATTACAAAATAAATATGCACAATTACAAACTATGTTTTAATAATTATCACATAATAAAGATGATTGTTAAACTAAACTATCTAAATATGATAGTGTCAAAAGATAGAAAGAATTGTATATGGAAAATGTTAGATTGAAAAATGAAATTGAAAGAATTCAAGATAAGTTAAAATAAATCGAAAATCAAACAAATGTTTAGAAATTACAAGAACAATATTAAGAACTAGCAAGAAAAACAACTGATAAAATTAATGAATTACTTAATGAAAATTAAATTAAAGAAAAATAACTATAAAAACTTAATCTACATTATTAGAATATCAAATCTCAATATAATAAATTAGAAAATGAATCCAAAGCATATTAGACAGTATTTGAAGCAAATAAGCAACATCTTGATCGATTAATTAAAGAAAATGAAATTCACACTAACTTAATGAATAGATACAGAGAAGTGGCATGTATGTAAAGAGAAGATTTTGAAGTTAGACTTATGTATTATAAAGAAGAATTAAGTGTGGCATCTAAAGCTAAAGATAAATTAATGCAATTGCAATCTAAATTGGATCGTTTTCAAATTGAAAAATCAAAAGACATAGAACCACTTCCAAATAACAATTATGATAAAGAAAAGACAGGTTTAGAAAAATTTAATGATTTATTTAGTAATGATAAGACTTATTAGCGTTTAACTTACTAAGCTCTCTAAGAGGAGAAAGGAAGAATTGTAACAAGAGTCGGACATTCAATAGTGACAATGGAATAACATTTTAATGCATAGGAAATTCAATTAGAGAAATTTACAATAGGATATTGTCCATTCATCAATTTAGTTGAACATCACAAAAAGACATTAGAATAGGAGTTCAGTGGATTAGAATATAAAAGACCGAATTTATAATTATTAGTTACATTAAGAGTAATACTTGATAGTAAATGGAATGAAATGTAAATGAAAGAAGAGAAATAGTGGACTCATTTACCAGAATTCGCTTATTCTCATTTAATGAATTTTAAAGTAGATATGCAAAGTAAATCGATAAAAAAGATTGATTAAGATGTTCATCGGATAGATGATCAGATAATAAAATTTATAGTTGATTTTAGTAATCCTGTATTTGAGAAGAATTGGGAATGTATAACATTTTAAGAATTCTTAAATGATTTTACAAGTTAAGATGAAATGTATTTTTATTTATATGCTCGTAATCTGTTATTTAGAGGACCTGAATGTTCACATACTACAGCATTTTATGAACCTCATCATTATATTCCATTATTATAAGCAGAATTTGTTGCTACTCATATTCTATCTTAATATGAAACTGCTACACTCTAATAAGTAAAAAAAGTGTTAAGAGAAAAAGCAGTTAATAAAACAATTACTAAAAATCTCTTTATTGTTGATGCTTCTTTTGTTTTAAGAATTTTACTTGAATTTTATAGAGTAGAACGGAGAAATAGATATAAAATGTTTAAAATAGCTTTTGGTAGTCGTGCTACCAATATCAGTTTCAAATAATTCAGAGTTGTTCTCATTAGTAATTATCCATATATTACTGATCTTGAATTAGCAATATTATATAGAGAAGCTTACTCATTTACTGGTACTGGAGTTTCAATTGATTCATTCTATACTACTGCCTCTGAATCTGGATTTTTTGTTAAACATTTGAAATTATAAAATCTTACCACTCAACCTAAAATTGTGAATAAAGAATTCGTTTTTGAACCTGATACTCAACCCTTTCTCATTGTTAATGAAGCATATAAGAGAGTAAACCATAGACTTATTTTAGTTCTAAGCATTTTAGAGTAAATTTGAATAATTCTTAATTGATTTTGGATTAGAAGAACTCTTCGCATAATTTAAAGAATTAGACAATTTAATTTAATAGAAATTCACACCTCTTTAGTACTGTTAAAAATCATTATCATAAATCATTGAACATTATATGAGTCTATTTAGAAATATCAATAATATTATCTGTAACAGACTCTATCTCTAAGATTAGTAAATGTTATTAATATATTCTTAGAATTCAATAAGGGTAAGAGTTTCTATCTAAACATGAAGAAAAAATGAAACTCAATAAAGAATAAAATAGAGAAGCATAATATTACTCAGGTGATAATTTTAATAAAAAATATTTAAGAAAAGACGATTTCATTCCTGATATTGAAATTCTTAAAGGATAGATGGATTGTTTAGAACATTTAGGATCTTATCTAGAATCATATGAATTAATCAAAAAAAGAAAAGATTATTGTATGATTATTTCTGCTAAAAAAATACAAAAATTTGTTAAAAAAAAAATGAATAAATTTTATAGCTTTATAAGTTCATTACTAAGTGCCAAATTTAAAGCTTCCCTTAAATAAGGAAAATGATAATAATACAATGGTTTTTATTATTTTATATCAATAATTTATAATAATTTTGTTTCATTATCATTATTATTAAAATAGTTAGAAGTTCATTATGCATTACTAAAATTATGTTTAAATTTAGGATGTAACTATTCTTAGACTATTTAATGGTCTGTTTCATTACATTTTAAGTAAGGATGACTCAATGCTTATTTAATATTAATTCTATATTAAGTATTGTTCACTAAACCTTTTAAAAAGTTTGTACCATGACCAGGAATTAATGGATAAATTCCTAAATCTGTATTAATAGAAGTATTAGAATAATTATAAAGATATAAAAAAACCCTATGCAATCCATACATATCAGTTGCATCTGGTTTTTCATCTAAAATAGCTTTGCTGAATCCAATCAATTTAAGCACTTGATCTTTATTATACATAAAATTCTATGGCCTTATCTATCCATGAACTATACCATTCTCTTATAAAACATCTAATATTTAAAGGATATCCTAAATCATAGTTTTGAAAAGTACCTTTATAACAATCTGATTTTCTTCATGAGTATAATCTGACTCTAATTTTCTATCCAAATATTCTAAAATTATATAAAAATATTTTGAAGATTCATAAACTTCACGAATAGCAATAACATTCTTATATTTACTTAGTTTCCTTAAAATTCTCACTTCTTAAAGAAATTAATATTCATATTGCTTCTTATATACTTTGCAAAACAATTTCTCTTCAGTGATTACTGATCTTACTATTACACTCTTAAGTTAATATATTCAATTACTGTCTTTACATCATTTTATGATATTTTCTACAATTCTTCATAAATTTCTGCTGCACCCATGTACATTACACAAGAATTCAATTAATCTTTAAGATGCCACAAGTTTTTAGATGAAGATTACAACACATTATTTTCAATCTAACACTTTTCAAGGTCTTTATTCTGATAAAACCATCGCAAATGTAAATTTAATGATATGTGAAATTTCACTTCCTCACTTTAGAATTTTATGCAAATTTATTGCTCATTACAACTCAAATATCCTGCCTGGTTATTAAATATGCAATCAAACTTTAAGGATTTTTGCATGATTATATTTATAAAATATCTACATTTAAATTATAGAAGGCTTATAAAGTCATTTTATAATAAATAAAACCTAAATTCTTCGAAAATTAATTCTAAAGATAAATTAAAATAGTTAATTTTTAATTAATATTTTAAGAAAACCATTTAATATTTTTGATTGTAACAACTCTTGCTATGACTCTTTATTTATTGATTCTGTAAAACTTGTAATTAAATTTAAATTTTGTGTAAATTTCATATTAGGATGCATTAAGATTAGTGTCTATAAATATGCTTTAAATAAATATATATATTCAAATTAAATATATATATAAATTCATATTAAATCTATTTTGAAATCATTGATGTTATTAGTAATATAATGTAATGATTTGTATGAATCCTCATAATTATTATTAATAAAAATCATGATAACCATAATTTATCCAATGTTTTGATGAGGTAATTTCTTGTTTCAAAATTGTTCTATCTAAAAAGTAAGTTTTGATTCATCATTAAATCACATGTTTATTGTTTTGAGTAATTCTTAACAATATCTCATAGAAATACAATATTATTATTTAAGTTTCTATAATCTATCAATATATATCGATAAATTTAAATGAGGAGATAGTTTATTAAATTTTAGAAAATAATTATGTTTAAAAAATAATAATTGATAGATAGAATTATTCTTAATAAAAGGTACATGTTTAAATCAAAAATTTACAACAAAATCAGAATATAGTAAATCTATATCTTTAAATTTACAAATCTTAACCTTGATAAAATAACTTTACAAATTAGAAAGCAATTCTATTATTTTAAATCAGTATTGTATGATTTATTTGAAATTTCTAATTAGATGAATAATATTGTATTTAATTTATATATTTATAAATCTTAGATCAATTAACAAATTATTTTTTTATAATTTTAATTGAAAACTAAAATAACTAAATTATTTTGTTTAATTTATATTCTTGATTTGTATTGATCATAAAATCTAATTAATGTTATTGGATATAAATTATAAAATTCTTCTGATTGAAATTGTTAATGGAATAGTAAAATGATCAAAATATAAGGTTATAGATTATAAAAATGTTTAAAAGTAGAGACAAAGTGTGTAATGAGATTATATAATTGTATAAATTAATAATATATAAATCACTATGATAATTTAATGAACCTTTTCTCAATAAGATCAACTCTTGATTAGATTTTAAGCATCTTGGCATTGACTAAATCTAATCGTCTTTTAGCATCTGCTATTCTTTGAAATTATTGTAGATAGTGTTGATCTTTACCAAAATGAGTGTCTTGGGTTAGTATTTACATTTCTAAATGAATAAAAAGAATTACCATCTTTGATTTAATTTAACAATGCTTCAAGTTAAGCTTATTGTGTTTATAATTGATCAGTTTGATTGAATTGTAATAATTTTTCAAATATTTCGTGAAGTTTAGTGTCCATTAATATTAATATAATTTAACGAAAAATAAATGAATAAAAATCCAAAAGTAAAAGAATGTTTGACTTCTCGATTATAATAATAAGAGTGTTGTAAATTGTAAGGACATGAAAATAATTTGATTAAATTTGTTTGTGCTTGTCATGAATGTCCATATCGTTATTAGAAAGCATGTGCACATTGTGTAATAAAATTGCATGGGAAACATGTAGAAGAAATGAAAGAAATTGATGAGTTTGATGAGTTAATGAATGAGAATAGTAAGAAAGCAAAGAGTTTGATGAAGGAGAGTGAGGAACTGATTTAGTAATTGAAAAATCCATTTTAGAATTTCTTTGAATAATTGAAATAATAATTAAATGAGATAATTGATAGTGTATAATAACGATATCTATTATAAAATAGAGAGAGAGCGTAATAACTAATAAGGAATGAATTAGATTTCATAAATTAATTCAATTAGAATGTATTTTCTAAATAGAATCGATATTTAAATGATCATTCTTTAAAATAATATACTACTTCATTAAAGATAGCTTAAGAGAAATTAAACAATGCATTTTAATTATTTGAATTGAAATAACTATTGGAATCCAATTTAATAATATTGATTGAAGATTTTGGAAAGAGTAATGGAATTAGCAATATTACTAATACTAGTAGAAATATGAGTCAAAGACATAGTAGTTGTCATAATATGATGACACCAAGATCAGCATTAAATGTGTTTAATCACAATATTAGTGTGGCTAGATCAAAGAAAATTAGAAATTGATTAATTTATGAGTAAATAATCTAAATAATATCTCTCGACATCTGCACCTCACATTGAAACATCTTAATAATTGAGTGTATCACCTAAAAAAGAGTTTTATGATGCTACAAAACAACTGGAAGCTGCTAAGAGAAGAATCAATCTATTAAGATTAGAAAATGAAATTAGGTATTATTTTTACATTTTAAGTAAAGGGAAAAGAAATTATAAATACAATAACAAAAATAAGAACAATTAAATAAAATCAGAGAAGATCATGAACTATTTAAAGAATATAAATAAGCACATAAAGAATAAGTTAACATATAATTACAGAATTTAATACATAGAACTAGAAATATGAAAATATAACAATCATACGATAAAAAACTTATTCAATAGAACTTTTAATAGATGAAATAACAAGAAGTTAAGAATATTAAAGAATAATCTTAAAGAAATGAGTACATTATTCGATAGAACTTGGATTCAATAAAATAATAAAAAGCAGAATAAAAATAACAAGTTCAATCTTAAGTTTAACTTGCTTAATAAACTATATAAAACTTTCGATAATAAAAATATCTTCGATTCATTCAAGAACACTAATTTTGTAATTCTTAACATTCTCTTGAAGCAGATTAAAAATTACAGTAAATTGAAGAACTCAAAAAACAAGAAGCCTACTTACTCATTAAGTTAGATGAAACCACAAATGTATTTCATAATTTATATTATAGTAAGCATATAAACTTAATTAAAGCGCTTTGATTAAACAATCTTAGACCACACCTAAAACTGCATCCTATTTTTGAGATATTATAATTATCTTTTATCATTCATTTATATACTAATAAATTATTAACTAATGAGTGAAGATGATTAAGTAATTCTTTTATTCATTATTCCTCTAGCATTTTCTTGAAGATGACAATAGTGAAGATGATAAATTTGAAGAGAATCTTGAAAAATAATATGCCGTAATTCAGTTACATTATTCTAGTTATACCCTAAAGTTAGTAATAAAAGACCTGAATCTAAGCATGGAAGACCTGAAAGTTCCAAATTCTCTTATAAAAAATAAGAATAACAAACTATAGAATAACAACCTAAACCTTTAGAAGCCATACCTACTTCTCAAGCTCTCAAAAAGTTTAACTAATTGGTTTCATTTCATAAAATACAAATTGAATAATTCTGGAAGAATCATACAATAACGGCTTCTCAAGCTGAATTCATAGGTTTTCTATCAGAATCAGGTACAAAATAAATAATAAATAAGGATTTCAATTTGATCAACATGAAATAAATCAAATTCTTAGTGATTTATCAAATGATCGTTATTAAATAACAATTGAAAGTCTATGTAAGAAAGTACCTGCATGGCATCAGAATGAGAGTATAATTAAAACTTGATTATTCATCATAGATGCTATGTTGGAGTTTATAAGAGAAAAAGCACTTAAATTGGCATAAGAATCTAAGAGAAAGTTTTCAGCTTAAAAGAAACCCAAACCATAGTCAGCAAGTACAAAACGTAGTGGTTTTAATAAGGGAGATTCAAGACCTATAAGTGGGATTTCAAAAAAGTATTAATCAGGTTTTAGTGATTTGAGAATGTAATTATAGACTTAAGATTTAGATCGAATATAAATGAGAAGCCATTGTAGAATAGATCAAAACATTATTTACAATTGGCTAAATAAAAATAATAGGAAGATGATCGACTTCTATAACTAACAATAAATTAAGGTAAGAATGAATACGAATATGAAATGTTAATAAAGATGGGAGAAGCAAATGAGTTATCATAAGAATTAGAGAGTAACATAACTTATAGAGCTTATAAGACTGCATAAGGTAACTTAAAAGTACATGTATATGAATTGGAACACTTTTAAAGAGATTTAACTTTAGAAGAATTTTAGAGAGAATATAATATATTGAGAAGTAGATATAATGAGAAAAAGAAATTAAAGATTTGGGAAGTATTAAATGAGAAGAAGAAAAATTAAAAAAGTCTTTAACATTTTGGATCTTCATAAAAAGAAGAAATAAAGCAGAATGAAATAGATGGTAAGGCTGCGAACAAGAAAGAAAGATAATAAGAATTAAAGAAGGTGCTTTTAGAAACAATGATGCTTTCAAATGTTTTAAAAGAGTAATTGGTAGTATTAAATAGGAAGGGTATCAATGCAATTCATAACCAAAGTGTAAAATTATGATATAATATATATTTGATATGATACTCTAAATTAAATAAGTTCTAAGAGAGGAAATGAGAGTAATAAATAAAATCAAAACAGTTTAGATAATAATATAAATGTCTTCTAAGAGAGAAGTTATAACATAACATAGAGTTGAGAGTGCAAATAGATCATAGAAGAGGAAATTGGAATAGGCAATGTTGTAAATCAATAGTCATTAACCTATAACAAAAGCATAATAAGCTTTGCCTTCAGAAGAGGTTGAATTGTATAATAATGTAAATGTATAACATGTGATTAATGGCACTGATTATGCATGGAATCATTTAGAGAATATGCCTAAGAAGTAAATAGATTTAGTCTTTCTTCCTTAGACAATAGCTGGAATGTAGAATGTTTATTGTGTAGTTAAAAAAAAATATAATGCAGAAATCGATAGAAGGTAATAATAAGAAGCTTAGAGAATTCAAAAGAACTAAGATAAACATTTATTGTTTCAATAAAGGAAACTTAAAAATTAATAAATCTATGCTAAAATAGGATTGAAAAAAACATATTAATCTTCTCCTACTACTTAATTTACAGAAGAACCTCTATTTTAAAGATTAAGTAAACCTAAATAATCATTCATCTAATAATCTACTTATGATCTACCCGATTTCAGAGGATTACCCATTAAAAATCTAACTTATTTAGATAAATATAAAAATCCAGTTCTTGTTAATCATTTTATCAGTTCCAATCTATTACCCAAATCTGTTTATTAAGAAAAACTTAGAACTAAATTTGAAACTTCTGATTAAAAACTTGAACAATTACATAATACTATTTAATTAGATGAATTAAATCTTGATAATGATTTCAAAGATAATGCAATGTTAGAAATTGATTAATTTGAAAAAATGTTATCAACTATGCCTTAAACTATGTATTCATAAGTTAAAGATAGAGAAAATTAATTATTATAATCAGTTGAAGGTTTTAGATCTATAAGGAAAATTAAAAAAGATCCAAATTATAGACATGTAATTGGAAATCAAATAAGAGATCAAATTTTAAATAAATAATGATTAAATATATATAAATATCAAATTTAAACCTTTTTTAACACAGTATCATAATCTCCTTCTTTAATTTCTGTATCATACTCAACTTCAAAATCTTTCCCCAAAATTTAAATGTTAAATTCTTTCTAAAATTTATTCTATCATAATATTAAAATTAATTTACTTTCTCTAAACCTAATAAAAATTTCGCTACTTATATAGGAGTTAGTATTTTTCTCAGATCATCAATAAAATTTTCCAAAGAATTTGTTTTTTGATCAAGATTCTCTTTGACATTTTATAATTATTTAATTATCCTAAAATAACTAAAATTGTTACTCTTTTAATTATTCTCTATCCTATTCTATATTCTAATAAGATTTCTTCAAAGATTTCATTTATAAATCAGATATATTTATTTCTCTACTTAAATCTATAAACCAATTTGTTTCATTTAAATTTAATCCTGAAGCCCATAATAAATATGTAACATGATCAGGAAATGACATCTCCATGATTTATTACAAAAAATAGTTTGAAGCCTTTATTTTCTCATTTCCTCCTCCAATCCTTAATCTCATTTAATCAAGTAACATATTAACTTCATTTTTATCAGAATTATTCTATACAGCAAATTCCAACTTTTCAAACAATTGTTATCTACATAAAAAATAGTTTTATAACTAAAAATTATAGTAGATTTACTTACTTAAGTATTAGATTCTATTTATTACATATAACTATTATGACCTTTAATTATCTTCTTACATTTATCTAATTCTTCCTTCAATGTATTTACTCTGTTTTCCAATAGTTCTAAATAAATTTTCTTTCTCTTTCTCGAATTTTTTGCACATTCCCTATTTCTAATTAATTTAGCCTATATTGAATCATCTGTATTTATGGAAACTTTTCTTTCAAATTTTGAAGCCACAATTGGTTTTGTCTCTTAAATTAGAGATGTAATTTTATTAATATAAGTATTCTTTTAGTTTTATTTGCTTGAAAATATTGTGTCTTCTGATCTTTTCTTTTTCTATTATCTCTTTCCTTATCTTTATTCAGGTANTAGATCTATAAGGAAAATTAAAAAAGATCCAAATTATAGACATGTAATTGGAAATCAAATAAGAGATCAAATTTTAAATAAATAATGATTAAATATATATAAATATCAAATTTAAACCTTTTTTAACACAGTATCATAATCTCCTTCTTTAATTTCTGTATCATACTCAACTTCAAAATCTTTCCCCAAAATTTAAATGTTAAATTCTTTCTAAAATTTATTCTATCATAATATTAAAATTAATTTACTTTCTCTAAACCTAATAAAAATTTCGCTACTTATATAGGAGTTAGTATTTTTCTCAGATCATCAATAAAATTTTCCAAAGAATTTGTTTTTTGATCAAGATTCTCTTTGACATTTTATAATTATTTAATTATCCTAAAATAACTAAAATTGTTACTCTTTTAATTATTCTCTATCCTATTCTATATTCTAATAAGATTTCTTCAAAGATTTCATTTATAAATCAGATATATTTATTTCTCTACTTAAATCTATAAACCAATTTGTTTCATTTAAATTTAATCCTGAAGCCCATAATAAATATGTAACATGATCAGGAAATGACATCTCCATGATTTATTACAAAAAATAGTTTGAAGCCTTTATTTTCTCATTTCCTCCTCCAATCCTTAATCTCATTTAATCAAGTAACATATTAACTTCATTTTTATCAGAATTATTCTATACAGCAAATTCCAACTTTTCAAACAATTGTTATCTACATAAAAAATAGTTTTATAACTAAAAATTATAGTAGATTTACTTACTTAAGTATTAGATTCTATTTATTACATATAACTATTATGACCTTTAATTATCTTCTTACATTTATCTAATTCTTCCTTCAATGTATTTACTCTGTTTTCCAATAGTTCTAAATAAATTTTCTTTCTCTTTCTCGAATTTTTTGCACATTCCCTATTTCTAATTAATTTAGCCTATATTGAATCATCTGTATTTATGGAAACTTTTCTTTCAAATTTTGAAGCCACAATTGGTTTTGTCTCTTAAATTAGAGATGTAATTTTATTAATATAAGTATTCTTTTAGTTTTATTTGCTTGAAAATATTGTGTCTTCTGATCTTTTCTTTTTCTATTATCTCTTTCCTTATCTTTATTCAGGTATTAATTAAAATTCATTATTATTCTTCTATAGTCGAATTTAAGAAAAGAACTCTTGTTAATTTAGACACTCATCATCTGAATTTTAACATAACATTTAAGAGCTACTATTAACAAAACCTAAATCTAATCTTGGTAATATATTTAACTTAATACTAATGCTAATCCATTTAAAAGTTAACATAATGGTCCTCTCCAATGAATTCGAAATTATTATTATACATTTATTTAATATTTCATCATTATAGCTAACTATTTATAAAATAATATCATCTATTGTAAGTATCTTATATTATCATTACTATATTTGCAAAATCAAAAGTTATTTTCTTTTTAAATGTCATGATGATAAATTTTCACTTCTTATAGAATATTTTTCCTTTTATAATAAACCAAAAATCATACTATAATCTCTCAAACAAAAAATTAATACAACTTTAATATTTATTATCAAACAAAAGAAACACTTACAACTTCATCAAGAATAAAATAGCAATCTCAATAGTAATTCTAATTATTTGGGGAAAAATTATAAAATGCTCAAATTCTCAAAAATCTTGAATTAATCAATAACTTTAAATTAAAATGTTGAATCAGTTTAATTTAAAATATATTTAGTATATCTTATATGATTAACATTTGATAGAATTTTTTAAATTATATTACTTGTGTGTAAATATATTTTTATATATAAATAAATACATTTTATTATAAATGGTTTTAATAACATTTTTTTAATTTTCTTTTGGATTTTCATTAGACTTTTATCTTGTTTCAAACTTCAAAATCATTTTTTTTAAAGTCAAAAAGATTGGATAATAAATGAATTCGAACTAAGATGAATAACTGAAATTAAAAATTTAGATTTTTAACAGTTGAATATTAAGATAAAAAAAATTGAATAAAAAAAGGACTATTAAAATCAAATAAGTTGAAATGGAAGTCTTGAATAAATTAATTAATAAACATAAAATTTCACACATTCTCTTGGTTATTTTAAATACTTTGAAATTAAGTATAATAATATGGATTGATTTTCTAAAAAATAATTTTATTGATGTGATAATAGAATTTTGTTTGGAATTGGAAAGTAAGATATCAGAATGGAATTGAAAAGAAAAGAAATTTATAGATAAATTAATATGAATATTTATTGGATTAATCAATAATTGTTTATACAAGATTATTTGAATTTTATATTTAATTATATGAAAGATTGGTTATAATAAAGAATTAATTAATTGAGATATGAATATTGAAAATAATAAGTTTTTGATCTGAAAAAGTTGATAAATATAACTTCTTTTTCTAATTATAAACATGAAGCTGTGGTGAATTTATGTATATATTTTAATTCATTTAATATATATATATATATAATTATGAAAAATTTAAAAGAATGTTTATTATCTGAAGGAGGTTATAAAAACACAAAACGATTTAAAGAAAATATTTAAGATGAGTAAATTGATGAAATATAATTGTAGCGACACTTTGAACTATGTTATTGAAACATTAGAAGACATTTATTAAAACCCTAAATCAGAACCGATTTCATTGGTGCTTGGAATGAGAGTAAGTCTGTTGGTATGTTTAGCTGAGCAGTTGACAAAAGAACTAATGGATCTTCATTATGATTGTGTAGTATATTCTATAACAAATAACATTGTTTATTTGATTGAGGATATTATCATGGCAGATTTAAAGAAAAACGAAAGAGGCAAATATTATTTTAGTGATCAACCAGGTATAATTAAATATAATTAGATTAAACTCTTATGTTACTTGGAAATACACTCATACGTTTAGCACTTGAATGCATTTTTGTATGGAACTTATGGCATCCAAATAATTTAGCTATTAATTAAGTGTAATTTTATATATCACACCTTATAGTTATTAAAGATTAATTGAAAAAGGTGTGTAGTTCCCAAAATTACACTATTTCAGTGCTTAAAAAGTTAAAGAATACTATTTGACTGTCAAAGAAACTTCAAGAAATGGCACTATATTTAGATAATAATCATAAATGCTAAATGAATAATATTTTGATCAACTCAAAACTAAAATTGAAAAAAATCACAATAATAATATCAAACTAAATGAAATCAATGAGGAGTTAAAATGTATAATATTTATTTTTTTAAATAGAAATCAAAAATGTTAACTAAAATCAAAAATAATTCATTGAAAACTTCAATAAGGCTTATAAAGATTATCTAATAAATAATAAACTAGATGAATTCAATAATTAAATTTAATCAATGTATGCGTATTATTAAATTAAGTTGCTTAGAATATGATGAATTATCAAGCCAAAAAAAACAGAGTAAAAATCTCATCAATTATCATAGATAGTGCTATTTAATTATGTACTTATTCAACTGACAAACAAAGTAATCAATTTTCAAGAAGTATGAGTGTAAAATTTTTGTTTTTTTAAATTTTAGTCTTAAAATTCTTAAAAGAAAAATGAGAGCAATGACAAATAATAATCAATTGAACAACTACTTCATGAAAATGAGCTTATTTAGGCATAAATTCAAAGTTTTGAAATTCCAAAATCAACCAGTCATTTTAAAAAAATAGATTTATGAATCTTAGATTGACAACCATTATATTATATAAAAAATTTCTTTAAATTAATACATTTTATAGACATAGATTAATTTTATTTTTCAAAAATTTCAATTTCAATAAAAAAAGTCATTCATTTTAAAAATTATTCCTCATGTATATAGATGATTATTAATCCTTATTTTTTTTATAGGCATTTTATAGAAATAGTAAATGAGTAAATTATCAATTAAAAATATAAATAATGTTATATTCATTTTTTTTATAAAAATTTTATTAATTTCAAACAAAAAATATTAATGATGTTAAGAAAAACATTATTATTATCAATAAAGAATCTATATAATAATATTAATAATAGTAGATTATATCAATCAAAAAGATCATAATGCAGTATTTACAGAATACTTTTCTAACCTAAAATTTTCAAATTTAATATTCAAGTATTTATTTATAATAAATAAAGTAGGTTAATTTCATTTATGTAGTTAGTTGTTGTTTGCATCTAAATAATTAAAACAATTATTTAGATTTATTCCTTAATTTTTTTTTGAAATCATTTATGAAATTAATTACAGGGTAGTAATATATATTAGAATCACACCTAAAAATATATTTCAAAATTAATTTAAATAAACAACAATTTTGAAATTAGAAATATAAAGCGTGATTATATTAAGAATCTGTATAGAGATTAAAACTTTAGTAATAATTAAAAAAATATTTATTCTTTTAATAAAATTGCTATCATTTATTTTAATCATTTTAATTTGAACTTTTTATTGCTGCTTTGATCATATCTTAAAGTTTTTAAGTGTCAATTATTTATTTATCATTATTTTAAGTTTATTTTTCTTGATTAAATCCATTCATTCCTCTTTTCATTGCTTGCATCAATTTCAAATAATTTAATTAATAAATAAAATAAATTAAGTCTTTAAATAATTTATTATCGTTTTAAGGTATCAAAAGAAATAACCTAACTTGAAATAAAATTTGTTAACTTAAATTTTTCTTATTGATATAGTTTTTTTTTAATAAATAAATCATAGTTAATTAAATAAATAATGAATTAATACATTGTTACAGATATACTTTAGTCGATAAGATGTAGGATAAATAATGCAAGAAATCGAAATGATAAAAATGAAGAAAGGCAAAAATACTTTAAGAGCTTAAAAATGATACAATATAAATAATTTTAGAATGAAAATTTATATTTCTTCGATTAATTTATAATGAATCTTAGTTAATTGAAAAGATAGCATTTATTACTAGAGTACAAACAATGTTAAATTAATAAAAATATAGAGATAATAATTGATATTTATAGTATATATGTAAGTAAGGTTACAAGAAATTTCAAATATGGATAATTTAAAATATTTTGTAATATTATAAATAAAATAGCTCTTTTTTATTTTATATTGATCAAGAAGTGGATTTTAGGATTTCATAAGGTATTTTTTAAAATCTTGCAGCTTCTGGATTGAATTCTGGTGTTTCTATGAATTATAAAAATAGATTTTATAGTCTTTATCTTAGACCCTCTAAAGAAGGTTCTGGTCTTCCTCTATTTAACATATCTGCTTCTCTATCAATTAAATCAACAATTTCTCTAGTTAAATTACAATCCCATTCTTTAACTGTCCATTTAGTATTAACAAGAATATCAAGTCTTTCATCTAAGCTTAATTTTCTTTACTTTAATCCTATATAATTTATATATATATATGATAATACCATTATATATATCCATTAATTCTCTTGCTCTTGTTGTGTATAGAGTATGAACTTCAGTTAATCTACCATCAGATTTTCTCAACCATTTTTTAGGATCTGAAATAGATTTTAAAAACTTATTGATTTTTTCATCTTTGTTTTTTTAATTTGCTATAATTTTCAATCTATCTATAGTTTATAATAAATCAGTTTCTTTATTTAAAACTTATTTAAGAGCAGCTCTTTTTTCATCTTCAGTCATAGCAGATGATTTAATTCTAGCAATTTCAGTTGTTCTCCATAACTAATAAACATTAATTAATAATAAATATACTTCTAATTCTTCATATAATATTTAAAAATCTTCTTTAGTTCTAGGATTAGTTCTTCTTTCAATTTCTTTTTTATGTCTAACTTCTTCTTATCTTCTAAAATCTTCTTCTTTTTCTAATTATTCATTTTATAATGATTATTTTTTTTATCTTAAAGCATTTGTTCTTCTTCTTGCAAACCAACCTCTAATTAATCTTTATATAAATAAAGCAGCTTCTTCTCTTCTTTCTTCCCACATTTCACTTGTAAAATATCTAATATATTATTATTAAACAACGGTTACTCTTTTGATTAAAAAATTCTATCATTTCTTAAATCAATAAATAAATCTTCCTTTTCCATTTATGTTCCAAATTCTTTCATCATTATTGTTGATTTTGTAGATTCAAAATGAGTCTATGTATCTCTATGATTTTTTTCTTTATGTTCTCTTCTATATTAATTAGTTTATGCAAATGCATGATGCAATAAAGCACCACTCTTTTTGTTCTTTAATCCTCCTAAATAAGGCTTTTAATAATCTAAGTTAATATTCAAAATTAATAACTTGCTTTAATTATTTAGATTGTCAAAGTATACTTTTTTTATACTTCTCCTTTTTCATCTTTAATAACAACAACTGATTCAAATTATCTTCCCATTGTTTATTCATATTAATCATCTTCATAAAATTATTCTTAATCTTCTAAAAAGTTGACTTATTAATTGTTATCCATTTCTTTATTATTTATTTTTAATATATATTATAAATAAATAAGATTATCAAAGTTCAATTTTTTAAAATCCAAATTTTTATATTATTCCTACTTACAGCATAGAGATACATTCCATCATCAGATACGAGAGAAGAACCAATTCTAGTACTAGAATCTAAACTAAATAATATTCTAGCTGTAACCCAATCCAATATTTCAATATTTTCACTTGTTGTAAGAATTGCTTTTAAATCTTTTAAATGAATATTCATTATATCATGTTTATTTTCAGTTTAAAATCTTCTTATTATTTTAAAATTTATTTAATTAATAAGATAGGCTTGTGATCTTTTCTATCCATTCATTAAGAATAATTGAGAATTAGAGATGTTATTTATTAATGATACTTACTTTATTTAATGTTGAGGATTCTTCATCTTATCACATTTCTTTATTTTAGGAAAATTCCTTAAATTTAAAGATCCAAATGTACCATATATGAAAAGTTTAGATTCACTTATAAATTAAACAAAATTTAACCCGTAAGGAAAATAATACCTTGAGAGTAATTCACATGATTTTGAATTGAAAACTAATAGTTATTTATCTGAACTTGCTGATAATAAATAATTCTCATTTGGACTGAAATCTACCTTCATTACATATGCTTTATGATGTGATAATAATCTAAATTATATTTATTAAGTTCCATCTATTTCTACTCTTCCAATTTTACAATCAGCTGATCCACTGGCTAAATATTTCCCAGTAGGTGAAAATTTTAGTGTAATCACAAATTTTTTATGATATCTATAACTATTGATCAAACTACAATTTTCATATAAAAACATATTTCCATCAAAATCTCCTGCCATAAGAAGATTTCCTTTATTATTTAAAGTTATAACATAAAAACTATTTTCTTCATTTTGTATTATTTTATACAACTGGAATTGAGTATCATTATTATTATTGGCATTTTGCATTTTATATATAATAAAATAATTCAAAAATTAATGGATGTTTGGCGCTAGATTGGTACTCAAAAACTTTTAGATATTGAAGCAGTTCTAGAAACATTTAATAATACTAATACTTCAGATTAGTAAGCATATAGCAATTGCTTAGCTTTTATGAAATTATTAAAGTAATCTGATCTATTTGAACAAATTAAGAATCTTTATAGTGATCGTTATTTTTGTCAACAATTATCACAATCTCAATTTGATAACTTTCTTCGATTCACAATCAAATCTGTTTAATTATATTAAGGGAAAGATGAAGATTTTGTAGATGGAATAAATTTACTTCAAGATTATTTTTTAAATTTTAATACCAATCAATTTTGTTTTGCTTTATTATCCAATAAGAAATTATTAGAAAAACATCCCAAAATTATGTTAAATATCTTTTCAAAAGCCATCATTTAAGAAGATCAAATATTATTGAACAAAATTATATAGTTGTTAGGGTAAAAACAATTAAAATCCTTTCATCATCAATTTCTCATTGATTTAATTTAAATTGATCTCTCAAACAAATAATCATTTAGAAACTATTCTGAAAAGCTATTTGATGCACTTATTGCTAATACTATTTAAGAATAACAATTAAAAATCCTTAATTTAACATTCCAAGATATCATTTTAGCTTTTAAAAGATTAATCAAATGGGATTATGTTAATTATAAATTTATACCTTGGAAATTAGATAATTATATGATGAATTAAGATAAATCTTAGGATCCAAATATTTTAAAATTGATATTCTATATCATGACATCCTAATAATCACATCTTTGGATTAATTGTGCACATCTCACTAAAGCTATTAAATTATAATGGAAGACCAATGACTTTGAATTTAGATTTTAAAGAATTCTTAAGCTCCTTAGAATTAATAATCATCGTGATCTTGATTCAAGTTATAGAATGGGTTTTAATGGTCTTGTTGGACAAAAAGTTGATTCATTTAGATTAGCTTAAGATTTAGAATTAAATATCAAAAAAGTATATATTATTTTTTTTACTTTTATTTTTAGACTATACAAGAAAGTGATCATCAAATTATCTATCTATAATTGATTAAATAAGCCTTTAAAAGAGAACCATTTTGCTTTAGCTATTCATTTATCTAATTCCTTCTTTAATACAGATATGAAGATAAACCAGAATTGTATTAACCATATTGGTCATTAGTATCAAAAATTTATTCCTTTTTTTTCATTCAATTATATGATCAAGATATTACTAATGTTTTTGATTTTTAAGGTATGTTTGTTGATGAAAATGGAAATACTAAGCTTACTACTAAAATTGGAATTTAAAAGAAAAATGCAAGAAATCTTGTTCCTTTTTTTTAATAATTGTATTTTATTTATTCTGATATTTTTATAGAATTATTAATAGTTAGAGACTAATGGATAATATTTATAAAAAATTCTATAAATTATTTTTATCAGAAAAACAAATGTTTTATTTCTTTACCAATATAATCTATGAACCATTATATTAATAAATAGATTTTCAATTTCCAGAAAAATCAAATTTAAAAGTAAACTCAAACACATAGCTATACTATTTATTTTCTGAAATTTTAGATTAATTTTAGAATACTAAAAATGTGTTATAGGATTATTTGACAGAAATTTTTAAATAACTAAATTAGAATTCCAAAGAAAATGCATTCAGAATACTTTCATATTATTAAAAAATACACAAAAAATATTAATCTGCTTAAATCTCAGATTATTGTATAGATTTAATTAATAAATCACATGCCTTTATGATGTCAGAGATATTTTAAGGTAAAAATGAAATCTCTCAATAAATGAATATATCTTAAAGTCAAAATCTTAAAAATAATTTATAATAACTGTTGCAACTTTTTTAACCATTTTCTGATAATAGATGCAAAGAGCTAAAATAAATATAAGATATAATTTTGACAAATTTTTCAGTAATATTATTTTATCTAAATAGGTAAATTATAATATTAGTATTGATTCTTCAACTTCAAGATGTTTCTTACTTTGTTTATTAAAAGTCAATAACAAATTATCTTAATAATATTTTGAAAAACAATTGAATAATCTCCTATAACAATTTGAGACTTTTTTCATCAATAACGGATACTTGAATTAAGAGAAGGCAGAGTAATAATTTTAGAAACTTTCAGAATAGGATGAAAAGGAGTATTATTTAATAATATATTAGTGAAGATGGCTAATACTTTTAATCAATTATTGAATAAAAATCAGTAGCTGCATAGACATAAATTCGAAACAATCCTTTACTTAAACAACAGTTTTAAGTTTTAATCTATTTATAATTATTAAACATTTTAATTTCTAACATAAATAGATTTGAATTTGAAGTTGAAGGATTGATTTCAAATTTTAGAAGAATATTGACTCACCCTTATGTGTCTGATGAATATATAATAGATATATGGAATGAAATCTATTTAATTATGGAATAGCTTAATTCATAAAGTTCTGAAAAATGGTTGGAGTAGTTTTAATAAAAGTTGATGAATAACAATTTAATTCATTTAGAATAGACTATTTCAATTACTACTACTTTAATTTTAGCAATAATTGTGAATCAAAAATATCTTCAAGCAAAAAAGATTAGAGCTCAAAAATTGATTTAGCTTATTAGTGATTTAAAAAGTAATAATTAAAAGAATTCATTATACAAAATTATACTAAGTAATTTAGAAAAATTAGATTCTTCCCTTTGCAATTAAATATTTTTTGAAATGAAGGATTAATAAGTAATTTAAGGAGGAACATTTAAACTATTAAGATAGATATTATAGGAACCAGATAATATTGATAATTTTAATTTAATAATCAAGGTATTTTTAGGTTAACAAATTCATTAAATATAAATTCCAATTTTGTAATTTATAGCTGAAAATATGTTAAAATTAGGAGTTAGATATCAAGTATTAATTTAATTAGGAGCTTGTGGGAAATCAGTTAAGACAAAAAAATTTGCTAAGCATTTAATCAAGTAATTTTAATTAGCCTTATTATAATGTAAATAATGAAATTATGTAAAGATTAGGATTTAGCATAGTTTATTTTGATTATAAATTCTGTGGTGTATTTAGCATCAATTTAATCCAGAGATCTTAATTACTAAGGAACATATTGGTTATTTCGAAAAGCACTTAAACACTTTTTCTAACCGAAAATAAAATCTAATAATAAGAAATGCAGTTAAATAATTAACTTAATAACATATTTCATTGAATAAAGTGTTTTCTTAACAACAGTAAAATCAGAGTTTGAATTTTCATTTTCTGAAAAGTTGGAAATGAATATTAAAAAATTGCCAGAGTAAATTTAATAATCAAATAAATCAATTACAGAATTTTGTGATGTGATAAGTGTATTATAATAGTATCTTAATGATGTAATCTAAAATGGAAAGAAAAATTTTGATAATTTGAAAAAAGATCAAAATTAATAAAATAATTTAGAGATTTTTGATTCAGTATTATTTTAAGTATTTAAATTTAAAATTTTAGATAAACCGAAATTTATCAAAATAAATAATGAAATCTAAATAGCAATAAATAGTGAATCCATGTTAGAATTTTGTAGAATTAAAGTAATCATCTAAAATGGAGAAGGTAACCAAGGGTCTTGATATTGAGAGAGATACAAAATGAATGATTTATATAATACTTTTGTTAATTTTATATGATTTTTAATTATATTGAAAAATGTAGAAATAGAATTTAGTAAAATTTTATAGTTCAAATTGGTATCAAGATTAATAATTAGTTACAATTCAAATAATTTCTGTATATACTTTCTTTTTTTCAAATTTCTTTCTGACATCTACATTATTTCTATTTGAAAAAGCACTTATTAATTATTCCCTTTAGACTTTGGCTTTGATTACTTCAGATCGATGAGTAGCTTAATTGTTTTCTAGTTCTTAGAATTCATGCAATTATCTAGAAAAGTATTAGAAAATGAATTACTTAAATACTTGTTTATTTTCAAGTTAAACATCAGCTTAAGTAAGAATGTGTTTGATTCTAGTGACAGCATTTTACTTAAATTTTCTTTGTTTTACTTAATGAGTAGAACATCTAGTATTTGAATCCATGAAATCAAAACTCAGTTTACTGTATTAAGAATGATAATTATGATGAGTTTATGGTCTAGGTTCTGTATTAGTTCTAAGAGTGGCCTATTAAGTACAAGGATGAGTATTTAAATTAAGAATTGCATCATTTCTTTATGTATCTATAGACTTTTCTCTCACATGAACTTCCTTTATTAAAAATATTAATGAACTTGCTTTTCGTCTTAATCTTCTGTTTTAGGTAGGACTTCTCCAAAAGCATTAGAGACTTCCTTTATTAGTTCAGGTACAGACTTTCTTGCAGTAGGTACCAATTATTTACTAGCAAAAAACTGCTCAAATTAAGCAAGTAGTTCTTCTCTACCTTTAAATTTGTTACGTTGTAAAACCTTTTATAAGTTTGCAAGTCTTGATTGCTATATTATTCCATTATAATATCTGTCTGACCATAATGTATTGTCATACCTAAAAGATATGATAAAATATATAAACATAACTCCTTAATTCTTTTTGAATGTATTAAAATACTCATTTTATAATCGATTGTTCTTTGTTTGTTAGATCACTTGATTATAATCAGCTTTTTCTGAAATGGTTTTTCCTAAACCTTTAGCTTTTTTTAATTATAGATAATATAAATCTAATGTTGCATTTTTAGTATAAGTCTAAAAGGTTTTACGTCTACGTAAAAATTGTTTATCGGTTACAATCAAAGGAACTTGAAGAATATGTTTAAATTTATCTTTAGCAGTTTTTTTCTAGATGACGAATTAGTAAATACTTTAAATTCCTTCACATATTGAATTTCAGCATCCTCAGTAATTTTGTTTAACCATGAAGCCTTAAATGAAACACCAAGTTATTCTTCTTCTACTCTTTACCAGAAATTAGAATGAAGGTGATTTTTATCTACTTGATTATTCATATATATATTAATTATGAAACTTTATATAGTGTTTTTGATAATTTGTGTAGTTGTTTCACAATAAGAAAATACTGAATTGTCTTAAGCAGATTAAACACTTTTGGATAGTTTGTTTAAGGATAAATTTGGAATGAATGTTTTGAATGATATACAAACTGAATATAAAAAAGATTCTGGTAATATTGTATTGTGTATTTTGAGAAAGAAAGGGATAATTGGGTAGAATTGAAAGTTTATTGAACACTATTGAGAGATAAATTGCATAAGATGAGCAGGACGATCTAGAATAATTATCTTAAGAATAAGAACTATGTATTAAAAAAACGAATTATATATATTAGACAATTAATAATTGGAAAGTTTAAAAGAGAAAATAGCTGAAGCCTAATATGATTATAGCAGTATTGGAGCAACAATAAGATTATTGGAAGATGAATCAAATAGATTTGATACTCAAATAAATGAGAAAGAAAATATAGTGAATGAATATGAATCTACACTCACTTAATTAGAGGAGATCAGATAACATGAAGTATAGATGATTAAGAAATAATTTTAGAATGCATATTTTGAAATAACAAGAGATGATTCTTTTGCTATTTGTAGTCTTATTAAGAGAGCAAGATATTTGATTAGAGAATTATTACCTAGAAGTCCAAGAAATGTTGCATTTGTTCAATAATATACTTATGAAGACAATTCTCATTAATTTGCTAGTTCTGATGTCTTATAATAAATGAAAGATCTTTAAATAGAAGCACAAGAGACACTTTAAAATAATGAACCATTTTTGAAGATCATAAGTTTTTAATATCAATTAATTAAAAGATGAATTTGTAAGTGTATCTACTCAAACAGAAGCTGTTGTTGATACTGTTAGAGCAAATGCTATCATTAATTTACTATAATAATTATATGATTAAGTAGATAGCACTAACAGAATCTAATTAACTGCTGAGGATGATAGAGAAAATCTCCATTAAAGAGTGAAGGATCACATAAATGAAGAATTAGATTATTTAAACTTATAAGTTAGAAAATATTTAATCATATATTATAGCTCTCTATCTTATATGATGAATAAGATGGTGTTGAAGCCCATATTATTGCAGCCTAAATGGATTAAAAAGATGGAGAGCAAAGATTAGCCAATTTGAAATAGTCATACTAAGATTTATAAAAATGCAAAGAAGATTCTAAAGTATTTAAGATGTAATATGATTCGAGGTCAATTATGGAGTTAGATCAAAAGAGAGAAAAGAACAATTGAAGTTATTGAGAAAGGTTAGGGAAGTTTTATTGAATGAATTCGATGCTGTTAGATGTTACATTGAGGATATTCTTAGTAGAAGTTTAAGTTAAGAATGATATTGTTATGATTAATCTATATATTATAAAAGAGCCAACTCTCAACTATGAGTTTAATGCATATAATTCAAACAAAAATACAAAATTCATTAAATTGCCATTGTAGCAGTTTCTCTACTCAACTTTATTTTACATCTTTTAGACATATCCAAAATTATTTAGATGAGAATACAACAAATCACAATTAATATGATTGATAATAAAGTTGCTATTAGAATTCGTTTTGATTGATTATCTTTGCTTTACAAACCTATGGTTATTCTCTCATTTTACTTAATAAAGTATTAATTGTGGTTCCTTCTAATTATTCTGCTATATCTAATAGAAAAACTTATTATTTGTTTTGAGGTTTATTCAAATACTAATCTTAGAGTTGATTACTGGAAGCAAGTTACAATACTTCGATACTATCAGTTTCTTTAATTGGTAATTGTATTGAGTAAGTTAAGACTAATATACACATTAAAATAAGCATGTTAAATAATTTACGAACGTTTTTGAAAATTAATTTTTTTTATTACCCATAATATATTATCATTAATCTATGTAAACAATAATTCAAAAAATTAATATTATCACTACGGTCATAGATATTAATGTACTAAATCCATCATTTTCACATATATTGCAATTAGTTCCATTCCAAGTGGCAGAATAAAAACTATTTTATAAACAATTGCTTTATGTAAGAAAAGAAGTATCTTCAGCATCTTAACATAGTTCATCTTCCCATTTGCAAATTTGATATGTTCCAGTTTAATCCCCTCTTAGAAAATTACATTTGGTTTTATCTACTATTTCTATACAAAAAGGTTCTGAACATTCTTCCTTTTCTGTGTCCCATTTGCATAGAAAATGATCACATTTAGATTAAGAAATGATATTTGAACACTTATTGGGATCATAGGCTATACATTTTCCAACATCATCATCATCTATAATCCAATCACATACTTAACCGTCTGCTTATTTAATAGCATCTTAACCTTCTATGTCTTCAGCAGTACAAAGTTCTTTTTTTTCAATCTTAGAACAAACATAATAAATATTATCATCACCCAATTCTTAACACTCATACTTTCCATTCACTAAATTATCACCAGCTACACAAGTTGGCCATTTAGTTGAACATTTTGTTTTATCAGATACATGATAATCGATGCAATCAGAAAAAGGTCTGCAATTTCCAACATCGTTTATTGCACATCCAACAAAATCAATGCATTCTTATTCAGTCTTGCCATCAAAAGATTCGCATTATATTGTAACACATTTCTAATCCATCCATAAACATTAAGCTTTACCAAAATCACAATCCTCTTTGCTTTATAATTGTTCACATTTGCACACATTCTCAACCAAGAACTATTTTGCTGTTGCAATCAAATAAATCAACACAGAGTATTTCATGAAATTATAATCAATTTTATAATATTAATATTAATTGTTAATACTTTTAATCTTTATTCTTTCAAAAGAGATTCTTAACAAATCAAATATCAGATAATTTGTTAAAGAATTCCTAATAGCTTTTCAAATGAAAAATTCTATTTGCATTTATATATTTGAAAAAGAAGTATATTAGGAAATTAAAATTTTCGTGAAGTAATTATCATAATTTAACAAATTTTGAGAAGCCTAAAGTTTTTCTTTATTAAATTTTATCCAAATAATAATATAATTGACATGTTTAGATGAAGTGAAATATAGATAGGATGTTCATAAAATTTACTATTAAAAGAGAATTGAGTGCATCATTTCAATAATAAAATTAATGCCTAGTAAAACTAAGATTTTGAATTAAATGAGACCAGCAATGGTCATAATTCTAGATGAGTTTGAGCCAAAAAGAAGAGTACTTATTTAATATATAAATTAGATTTTAATTAAATACAGAGTTCTAAGAACAGCTAAAGCAACAATTTTGTATCTAATTTGTTCATAAATACCACCCTATAAGATTTACAAAGCATCAGCTGGAAATCCTTTCTATTGCTTAAGAGTTATATTGACATCAAATAGAGTAAAATTTATAGAATTAGGTATTTCACCAATAGTAACAAAATTAATAATCATGCAATTGTTAGCAGGCGCAAAGTTAATTGATGTTGATTACAATGTAAACGAAGATAAACAACTTTATATCTAATTGCTTTTGAGGAAGTCTTTGAATATGTATGGTCTGGAATTTATAGTGATTTAGGGGCAATCTTATTTTCATAATCATTCGATTAGTCTTCTCAGCAATATATGATTATGATTGATGAACTACTTTCTAAAGGTTATGGTATGGATATTCAGGAACCTCTCTATTCATTGCCATTAATATATGTGAAAATATTTTGTGGAAAGCCCTCTCTCCAATCAATCATAAAACTGAACTTGAATCATAATAGGAAGGAGCTATTATTGAACTCTTTCATGGATTATTCATCATAAATGGTAAAATCACTGCCATTTAATCAGCCATCATGAGAGATTCATTACCAAATCTCACAAATTTATTTAGCAACTATCTTAGTTTTCATGATTGTAATACTCTATTATAATCAATAAGATTTTCATTGTATATGCAATCTATTTGATATGTAATTATTTCTTTTGATTTTAAAGAAGTAATATAATTCTCAAAAATAAATATAGGGACAATTAGTCAAAAATAACATAAATATGCACTCGTAAACCTTTCACTAAAAAAATTAAAATTTTGATATTAAACTTCACATCACATAATATAATATACATTCAATTAAATCATCAATATTTCTTGTAAGGATTTAAAGTCGATATACCCATTAAAAACTATAAATTTAAAGGAGGTTTGACATCATACCCAATAAAATTATTCTATACATCAAATATCCCAATTATCCTCTAAACTGCTTTAGTTTCAAACCTTTATTTTCTCTCTCAATTCCTATATAGAAATTTCAGAGGCAATTTCTTGATTAGATTACTTGGTCATTGGTAAGAATTAGATGGTGTATAAACTGTTCCAATTGGTGGATTAGTTTATTATGTTTCACCTCCAAAATCAATTTCTGAAGCCATCTTCGATCCAATCCATATCAGTATTGTACATTGCTTACATTCTTGGAACAAGTGCAGCATCACCAAAGATTTATCGAGTCTATTTAATTTTTTAAGTTGCCAAATTACTTAATGAATTGGATATGTAAATTGTAAGACATAGAGATTCTTCTGTGAAAGAAGAACTTAAAAGATATATTCCAATTCCTGCTTCTTTTGGTGGAAAGTGTATAAGAGCATTAACTATTTTGGCTGATTTCTTGGGTGCAATTGGTCCAGGTTATTTAATTAATAATTTTAGGAACTGTAATACTTTTATCAGTAACTATTATTTATGGCTATTTGGAAACCCTAAAGAAAGAAAAGGAGTAAGGAACTCTAGAACTGTTTTGATATTGTTCATTATTAAATTTATGACGTAGTATTATAAATTAAATTAAATTCATTATTATTTTGGGTTCAAAACCAATATATTAAATAGCCGTCTAACAGATACCAAGGTATTGTTGACACTCTATTACAACAAAAAGTGTCTTGGGAATACTTTTAGAGTGCTGACTCCAGCAGTACGCATAGAGTAGACAGTTGATTCGGTTTCACTCTAAGTATTCATGGATCTTCTCTTTTATTCATTGTATGCTATTTTTGCCTCATGATAAGTCAAATTTAATTTTTTTGCTGCATCTTTGAGTGATATTCCTTGACTCAGCAAATCAATTAATTCTTTCTTTTAAGAAGAAGTTATCGTTTTATTTGGAGTAGGTACCTTCTTGATCTTTTTCATTTCTATTTCCACCTATTTCTTTATTTCACTCAAAATGTTCATGTTATTTTATTTACATTTTCCCTCCTTTGATTTCGCCTAATCTAGTTTCATATTATGAAATCGAATAGTGCGAATGTAAATAATTATGATGTAAATCATTATAAAAAAAATAATTGAATGCTACGTCATTTTATCATAGTTTCCATCTAAATCTTAAATCTATTATATTTTATTATATAATAATATTAATTTTTATATAATAATAATTTATTATATAAAACTAAATACTATAATCAATGATACCCAGCTATCTCTCTCCTGATGTTCATTTTGAAACAGGAAATAGTTGGGTTAGGTCTAGTATTGTTTCCCAAATCTGCAGGTCTATAAGAATATATTCACAGTTACTTAAAGCTTTCTCTCTCCTTTTTCTAACTGAACTATCGTTTAATTTCTTTAATTGGATCAGGTTTGTACTCAAAATAACCAAATAATCCATCTAATCCTTTCTTCAATCCATCTGCTGGTCTAAAAGCTGATTCATGCTTTGCTTATTTTTATTCAGGAGATTTCCTCTAACTTGTTGGTGGCATCTTTGTTTCTCCAAATAAATTCTTGTCCTTCTCAAAAGTGTATCCTCCATAAACAGTACTTTTGAATGCTTACTCTTTCTCTTTACTCTTACTTTCTATTCTTGCTTTCTTCATAATAATAATTTGAATACTCTCTCAAAATCGCTATATCTATTATAATCATCCATCATATATGGAATTGATTTATCCATAACCTTACACCTTGGATTCGTTGTAACATTACGAGGTGCAGAATACACTCGTCCATCTGATTGTTTTCTACTCTCCACTTTTTTATAATCATAATCCTTCATATGTTAATAAACACTCCCCATTAATTCCTTATAACCAGATGCAGGTTTAAATGGAGTCTCCTTATTGCATAACTTCTTCTGCTACTTCTCATAATGTGCAATCACTTTATCTGGATCTAAGTAGGGATCCCCAACTGTTGTATAACTCAAGGGTCCAAAATACGATGATCTAATTCTTCCAGTACGAGGAGCACTCACCTTCATATTTGATGGTTCTGTTATCGGCTTCCCATTCTCACCTCTTTATGCTAATCCAATTTATTCTCATGTTTTACGTTTCTTTCTCATATCCATACTATCATCCCCCAAACCTAAAGGAACAGGTGAAGAAAATAGTCCAAATCTTTACTTTTGAGCATTTTACTCTGCATCTTTTAGCATTTCCTTACGAATTTGCTTTAGTTCTTCTTCCTTCTCTTAACTATTAGACATTATATTAATTATTTTAAGTTATTATTAAATACTACTTTCTTCATAAACAAATTTATCCATTCATCTAAATCTAAAATAACTACTATTCTATCATGAAACCTTTTTCTTATAATATCAAAAGATTAATTTTTGTTATTGCTTACTTCACAAAGTCATTTATTAATCAAGTAAAGCTGATTCTTAATATTTAAATTCAAAAGGCTATTTAGAGAGATTTTTTTCATAATTTTATTAAAATAATAAACCAATAAGAAAAATAGTTTAAAGGATTCAAGAATTAATTTTAAATGTACATAAGTCTTGAAGTATTTAAAATTTGACCCAATCGCCTTAAAAATAATTTTTTTGATAACTTTTCACCCAAACATTAAAATCATGGTGATTGATTAATTAAAAAATATCTGTTGAACCTATAAGGCTCTCAGTTTGTACAGATAATCTAGCTTATAATTTAAAGTTGGAACTATCAAACTTTGTTTTCTCAAAAGCGTTTTTAATTGAGATTTATCTTTCAATTTCTTATTTTAACTCTGGTACTTCTTAAAAAGTATTTTATTAATTTATAATATTAATCTAAAATCAATACTTAATCAATTTTATATTAGCTTTTTACTCCTATTCTAAGATGTTAAAATGAGTTTCTGATTTCTAATAGCCGACTTTGTGAATTAATAATCTTAATTCTTAATTAGATCAGGCTAAGCTTGGTTAACAGTAAAAAGATATCTAAGTTTGTTTTCTAATACAATAATTCAATTTGATAGCAAATGGATAATAAAAATTAATTTTGAATTTTAATAAATAAAAAGTAATATAAAATCTAATTTTAATAATATAAA